TTCTAGATTCATTCATTTGCTTCCATCCCGGGCGGCCTCATGAACAGATAAAAGAATGAAGGTTGTAACTGCTCTCTTGTCTCTTCTTTCTTTTCTTTTATTATTATTCCTTTTCTTCTTCTTTCTTTTATTCTTCGTCTGCTTCTTCTTCTTTCTTTTCTTATTATTCTTTTTATTCTTTCTTGTCTTCTTCTTCTTCTTCTTCTTTATCTTCTTCTTTTTCTTCCTTTACCCTTTCTTCTTGTTATTCTTGTTTCTTTTCTTTTCTTCTTCTTCTTCTTTTTATTCTTCTTTCTTTTCTTTTCTTCTTCTTCTTCTTTTTATTCTTCTTTCTTTTATTCTTCTTCTGTTTCTTCTTCTTTCTCTTTTTCTTCTTATTTCTTTTCTTCTTCTTTGCATTCTAATTTTCTTCTTCTTCTTTCTCTTCTTCTTCTTCTTCATTTTTTTCTTTTCCCCTTTCTTCTTGATTACGTCCCGACCCCCTGCGCCCCCTAAACCCCTAAACCCAAACCCGAGTTGCAGCTTTCAGACGGCCAGGCTGTAGATATACTTATTCCGAAGAGGGTGACTTTTCAAGCAATCCCATCACTCCACAAGGTTTTTAGTATTTAGTATCCCATTCTAAAGAGAAACGAATCTTGATTAATGCTCATTTGTAAACATAATTCCTGACGAAGTTATCCTGAATCCCGTCCGGCAACGTGGTAAATCATAATGCAAGTGCCGGGGAGAAGTTAGAAGCATGTGTCCTAATATTGCCATAGTCGGGTAACCCCCGGCGTTTTCTTCTATAGTTCAAGTCCATCAGGAACAGGAGTATTCCAACGTAGGATCCTCCGCTCATGCGTCACCATTTTTGATATCACAATGACGCAGCCTGTGTGGAATTAAACGACTTCTGATGGAGCTCCACCCCAACAGCTTCGAAAGCATTTTCATGGGTAAGCTAAGGTAAGCTGCTGATGCGACCTATTGACACCTATGCTCCTTGCGGATGAAGTGTTGCGCTCTGCTTGCTAAGCCTCAGGTCGACGAGCTGGAGTCTGTGCACAGCACTGAGGCTTGCTTCTGAGTGGCAGGAAAATGTTCTGAGGGCCGTAGTGGCATTTCACTGGCATTGTGATTGCTCAGTGATTCGTGTGCACGGACCCAGGTTGGTGCAGAACCCGGACTTGCAACCAGCGCTGCCGACGTCTAAACGATTTCACCATCACAGGGCCAAAGCCCAGAGATGGGTCAGGAATGTTGCATGGGCCAAAAGGATGATGGGTAAATGAGTTCAGCTAGATAGTCGCCAAGTTCGGGGCATGGTTTGCTATTTACCTTTCACATATGAGACTTTTGCTGTTGGTTCTACCAGCAGGGGCAGAAACGCCGACGTTTCATGCCCCGGTCTTGCTATCTTTATGCCCTTTGATGCAACTAGCAACTATCAACTCATGATCTGACAACGGTCGCGGCAGGTCCGTCACCTGCATGGCTGTGCACCATCAGGAATAAACATGTAACATGAAACATGACTTGCAAATGCTGCAAAGTTGGCCAACGAGGCGCGATGGTGGGAGCCCGCTGCAAAGCAGATCATCCTACCTTGCATGACTCCGCAAAACGACGTGTCACACATCATAGCAGCCTTCAACTATTTGAATCACAACGGGATGCAGCTTTCAGTTCGCAGTGTCAGACGCAACAAACTTAACTTAAAACTTAAAACACAAATAGCAACACCCACAAACACCCACGTGAACCGTAAAGCAAGAACGCAAACCAACAACGACGACACCGACACCACCACCACCACCCCCAACAACAACAACGACGACGACGACAACAACAGCAGCAGAGGCAACCGAAAACAACAAAGATAAGGAACATAAGCACAAAACTACATGGGCAACATCAAAATACAAGCCCAATAACAATCACTATTAAAACATGGGAAACTCAACACTTCAAGCATACTTGCAGCAACTTGGCTCAGACAAAGAAACGCAAGCAGCAAGAGAAACCAACCAAACCCAGCTAGGCCCATCGAAGCCAGTGCCAGGGAGGGAATGACGTTTTCTCACCACCCTCTCGTGTTGGCGGTGTCCATCAAGTTTCGAGCTCTGAAGGCAAGCATGTTTGGAGACCTTGGACGTGTCTGAGTCGCCTGAGATCACCTGAGCCCTTGCCAGCTGTTTGGCAATGCGTTCGACAGTTGCAAGCATTCGAGCTGGCAGCGCCGGCAGCGCTGACAAGTTCTACTGCGACGACGCCTACTACCACCAGTACCAAATACCAGTACCACTACCGTACGACCATCACGACCACGACCTCTACAACGGGATCGACAACGTCTACTGCGACTATGCCGGCGGCGACCACTGCTACCACCACAAGGTCTCTTCCACCTGGACTAGGACCTAGACCTACTCTTGCTGTTGCTCTGGCTTTTGCTGCTATTTGTACTGAACTTGGCATTGTCAAGGCTACGGCTACGGCCATGCCCAGGTTGCTTCTACATTTTCGATATGTCCATCACTACGACTGCTGCACTCTTGCCACAATGCATTTGCAAGCAGCTGCTGTGTGAATTCGACATGCAGAAAGCCTTCGCCCTAGAGAATGGCAAACATTCACAGACACACGCTGACACTTCAGTTGTTCGATGATGCCGGCTGTAGAGTCGTGACACCAGCCACCCGTGCTTGCTCTGCTCGCTTGACAGCCGTTTCTTCACCAAGCATGGCATGGAGCGGTCAATCATTCTGAGTTTCTGACGAGCACGGGATTCTCCTTCTCGATGGCCTCTATTGTGTCTAGCTCAGGCATACAGCGAAACTGCACAGGCGCCAAAATAACCGGCAGCACGAAGCCGAATGATGCATCGTGCACTCGCAGCCTGCAGGTAGGCCAAGGCTTCCTTGGCAGTCTTGCCTTGAACGAAGAGGTCACACCTCAGTTCGTCGCAGTTTCGGCCGCTAACTCGGTCTGTGTACAGAGTGAGGCGTGATGCCTTCACCTTGGGCAGCATCAGAGAACAGCGGGCCAAAGGCAACTGCTCCCAGGCAGTCTCCAAGGTCCAGGCAACCATGTCGGCAGACCATCTGCAGGACCTACCGCCTCGCTTATCTCAGAATTCTCTTCTTGAGGCTCTATGTGAATTCTATGTGATGTCTGCTGCTTCCATGCATGGCATGGCCTTTGCGCCCACGCGCGTCAGTGGCTTCGCCCACACCACATTGTCGCGCTTTCGGAGGTCCTCGCTTAAGCAAAGCGCCCCTCGGCTCTGCACTGCAAGCAGTACTGTGTGCAGTGTGCAGCGCTGCCTCCAACTTGCTGATGTCGGTTACGGTGCCGGACTTCATAGCATTCACCTGCCAGGCGACTGGCCGTCGAATTGCTCAAGTCATGCCCCTGTTCACGTTGGCCTCAAGCGAAGGACAAGACTCACTGTGACGCTCGTCAAACGGTTCGGACATCTCTCCGATGACTTGAATACGAGCCAGAGCCACATAGCAGTAGGCAGTACCTGATACCGGCTCTCGTGGAACCTTGCTTGCAAGTTTGCAGGCTGATGTTGATCCCATCTTCAATCTTGCCCGGTTTTCCCTTTCCAATGCGGCTGGAGCAAGACTTCAGCCGCATTGAACTTGCGTGATGCCACTGCTATGTCTGCTTGGGACCCGGCACAGGGCCTAGAAGGGATGCCCAGCGCACAGAGCATGGTTTCCTGCAACGCTGCAAGACTACTTGGTGCAGATCACCGACGAAGGAATCGCGGAAGCTCCTCTACCAGGTCAACGCCCCAGGTCAAGCGGTTGCATTCGTGCACCTGTCCTGGCAGCCGCCATCTGCAGGCTTGCAGCGAAGTGTGCGACCCATGGACAGGCAGGAACATCCGATAACAGCACGCATGTGTTTCCGACTGGATTAGTCAGTCAATCCTCCTCCCATTCTGGCATTGACCTGCGTGCGGAGTGAAAGGTTGTCAGACAGATGTGTCACGCCACCCCCTCTTCACAGCCAGCCTCGATCAGCTGCGGGCCATGAGAGGTGTATTTCAGCCTCACGCAATGCCACACAGGCACGGGAAATGCGGCAAACCCTTACCTTGGACCCTGAGATGTTACCGATGGCATGTTGGCACGGACTTGCCGTCTTCCATCCTCTATCGCTGGGGGTGGGGCTCCACGTGGAAGACTCCCGAAGTGAAGCCAAGAGCCTTGATACCTTTCATATCGAGGATCACTTGCACACTAAACATTCGAAAGAGCGTCAGAGCGGCCAGGGCTGCGACACTCCACCCCCAAGTCTCTCAGGGACACCTGCTGGTCCTTGCCAGAACCCCAACAAATCTCCCCCAAACAGTTTTGAATCCCAACGTACGCCCCTTTGCGCTTGGTGATGGCTGTAGTGAAAGATGACCCAAGGTCCTTTGGCAGGAGCGAGGGGCAGCACGCCCAGGTCCTGGCCGCTTCAACAGCTTTAGTATCAGTAGGAGTTTCGTTTCAATGATATGCAAATTTTTGTACACACCCTTGTCAGGTACTCAGGTCCAAGCTCGTTGAAGTATGGCTCAAGCGTCGGCCCGTTGTCTGCGACACAGGCGTACACATATTCGCCTGGCTGTGCGGCCATGAAACCCGCTTCACTATCTGAAAAACCTCCATGGCAGTGAAGGACTCTGCCGCCTTTGAAGGCAGCCCTTTTTCTGAACGGTCGAGAGCGAGTCCTGTATCGTAGTTTGTACAAGTTGGATAAGGCCCTCGTCTTGTTGAGGGAACCTTTTGAGCACACCCTCTGCCAGGGCCTAGCACGAACTCAGCACGTGCCACTTGCGGTGCTCAGGGCAGGGTAAGCGGATGTAAACGGCCCTTCATGGGGAGCAGCTGCACGTCGAAAGGCCATCCTAAAGGCCTCTTGGCCACTTCGTGGGCACAGCTCCTTCACAAAGAAGCCTCTTCAGAATTTGATGTGTAGCAGCAACCTGCCATGGCTTTGGGATTGTGACAATATCTTGGTCCCTAGATGTCCCCTAAACCCTCCATGCTAGCCCATCGTCAACTCCACAAAATCCCACAGGCCTCTCAGTAAGCAACGACCGCCACTGCGCAGCTGAGCCTCGAAAGCCCAGGTGTGTTATGGTGTGTTCTGGTGTGTACTCGAAGGATGCAGCGATTGAAAGCTGCATGGACTGCCGCACCAAGCTGCACTGCAAGGCCCATCCCCCTCGGTAGCATGAGAGAACGTGGGGGCCAAGTGTGACGGAAAGCTACATCTAAGTGCAGTAACACACCCAGAACGTCTCAACAGAACCAAGTAATGATCGATCAGGCTTTATCTGCGGCTGGGAGTCAACACCGTAAGGAGTCCGAACGGCATGAACTTCCTTTGCATCACGACAGAAGGTCCACTGCCACGTTTTTCTCATCACTGCATAATCGAGTGGCTTCCCATGTCCGTCGGAAGTCAATGGCTCTTTCAGATTTGCCTGACAGGGAGAAGCGACAGGACCTCAAGGCTTTGCAGTGCTTTTGCAGCAGGACACACGTGTACCAATTCATAAGCAGGGCCAATCGCAGGATTCCTGAATCACATATGGCACTACCGGGTCTGTCCGGGTACTGATGCTGACCCGTGCAGTATTTGGGGATATGGGAGGCTCAACAAAAAAACAGCACTTGCTGCCTGAACGTGCCTGGCATGACATGCATGTGGCACCAGCTACCTCGGTCTCACCCGATTTGTTGTACTTCTGGAAGAACATTCTCACCCTTGGCCGATGAATCACGATAGTGTAAAGAGACTCCCTCACTTCTAACTGTACATGTACTAGCACAGCAGAGAGACAGCACAAGGCTGAACGCACACATCGCGCATCCTCCGCCGAACTCGTTCACCTTCATGACGCTGGAGGGAGAAGTTAGATGAAGCCGGAAAACAGATTACATCAGACCAACATTGTGCGACGAATTAGGCTGAGGCATACGGTAGTCACTATTCCGCCTACTGCCACGTCATAGCCTGAACACAGGCACCCATGCCCTAGCGATCTCTAATCCCCACCCCCTTAAGGGGGGGGGGGGGTCACCCCCCCCCCCCCCCTTGTCGCCAGCATGAAAATATTTCAGGATTTTTCTGTTGCCTGGGGGGCCCCCAAGGTCTTTGAAATTTCAGCCAGGGGTTTTGAAGGGGAGGTAGGTAGGTCGAACAATGGCCTGTCCCGATGGTACCACGTCCCCGGCTCTCTCTCTCTCTCTCTCTCTCTCTCTCTCTCTCTCTCTCTCTCCCAGGCCAATGTAGTTGGCGCGCAAAGCCACCTCAGCATTCCACACGGACTGCACAAATAGCTGTCGGCACAGTTTGAGAACATAGCTGAGGTCCCGACATCGCCAGCGACATCCAGCATCATCCAACGACCTGCCACAAGGTTTAATTGAACCATATTGAGCCCAAACACTGGCAATGGTCAGCAGCGACGCAACGAAACACCGAGAATGCCCGGCCTTCTCGACAGCAGCGCCGTCGTTGCGCCGCATTCTTCTCTTTCTGTATTCTGTTTTTTTTCTCCCTTTCTTTCCTTCTTTTTCTCTCTTTCTCTGTTTGTCTCTCTCTCTCTCTCTCTCTCTCTCTTTGAGTCTGTCGTCTGTCACCTTCTCCGCCTAGCAACATAAAAACGCCCTGGGGACGTAGTACCGGGACGGCCTGCCCAGGCAGCAACTGCCCCAGAACCTCCAACAATCTCTAGAGGTGGTATTTATGTGTACTTATGTGATCTTATGTGCTTCGTGGGTTGTTGTTTGTTTCGGTGTGTCTGTTTTAATGGTCTGCAGACATCCTCTGCCTTCCCCTGACGGTTGTGGTCCAGAATTCGATTCTGAAATTATTTTCAGCCGCTTACCCCCCGAATGTTGAAATTTCAGCCTGTTGCACCCACCCCCAGGTTTATCATGCCTCGGCGTCCAGCTAACCGCCTGAAATATTTCAAGGCCTCACCCCCCCCCCCCCAAATTTCAAGGGTTAAGGGGGTGGGGATGATCTCTAGCGCGCCTTGATGGTTGCAAGGACGATGGCGAGCAGAACCAAACTGACAATGGTGCTTGCCTGGGAGGGTGTCAGGACTTGGGCCTGCGCCCGAGCGATCCCAAACGTAGACTGCGAGCGCAGTTCCCAATGCTTGATATGCCAAGGCGCAATCAGGGAAGCCTTGCTCTTCGCCTTGACAAATCCGATGATGCCACCCACCAGCACCAAGCAAGCATACCTTGCAAAGGACTTTTGCAGAGGATCTTTTGAGCGGTACAGCTGTATATCGGCAATGAGCTGAAGAGCATTCATCCCATGTCATCCCCCCACCGCAAGGCCAAGCCTTGACACAACAAACTGGCAAAGCCCGTTCCAAAATGTTCCAAAGCAGACCAAAGTGCAGTATGCTGTATGCCATGAAGCCCGTTTTCAGGTCCGTGTTTGCAGATGCTTCCGACATGATGCTCGTGTCAAGCTTCCGAGGAAGCTACACTTCTTGAAACGGTGTGGCTTGAGCCACTTCAGACAAGCATACAGATTCCATCATCGAGTTGACAGATGCGCTGCGGTGGCAATCCGTGTCACCTGGTCAAGCTGTTGCTACATTGAAGCAGGTGGCTACCAAGTTCGTACTACTGGTGTGGATCCGTGGCACGTTATTCGCGCACCGAAGCATCGCAGAGAACCGAACACGCCCCAAGAGGTCTGGTGAATCTCTGATGAAGACTCTCATGCCCTGCAAGAACGTCAACAGCTGACCACGCCGGGAGATAAGAGTGCCGGGACCATTGAAGCGATCCAGAAGCATTTGTTGGCATGGGGCTGGGCATTAAGCAACGAAGGACACCTTGTTGTACAGTCGCAGGAGCGTTGTGGCATTTCAGTATCAGCTTCCCGCTCCCCCAACTCGTGCCGATGGCTGCCTTCTGACATCACAACCTGGGCCAACTTGCTGGAAGAATGCTTCTTCTACCTGGTTGTTACAGCATCCAATGATGCCAGAAAAAGTTCTGCGCGGCAAGATGGGGGAGGTCTACAGACGTGTCTGGGGACCCTGTGCAGCACAATGCAGCACATCAGAAAGCTGCTTCTCTGGCCCTAAGCAGAGCGAAACTTGAAATCGCCAAGTAACATCCACATCCACCTCTGGCCCATCCAAGAACTGCTCCATCAACACGGTCAGGTCCACCCCGGACTGATGCCAAAATCCAAAGAAGCACCACTGGTGAGACTGGTGATCTCCAATCAAGCGATCTCAGAACAACCCATCGCCTCCTGTGCGTTGAGCCCCGCAGTGTCAGGGCTGCCTGTGAGCGCAACCCGCATAACCCTGTTGTCGACAAGAGGCTGCACTTGTATGTCATGTGTCGCAGAAGCCCCTTGGAAGTCACTACTCAAGTCGCCCGTGGATTTACAAGTAGCAACCTGCCCGAGCTCAGACGATACCTACTGCTGAGCTTGTCTGCAGCTTGCAATCGCGACATGGACATCGGCCGAAAGCAGGCCCGACGGACAGAAAGCAGTGTTGACAGCCGCCGCCCTCGATTCGCATGTGCCGACTGTGCTGGAGTCCTTACCCATTGCCATGCATGTCCGATGTTTCAACGTAGTTAAGTACATCCTGACGGCTTGAAGGATGCAGGCGTGTCTAAGGGCAGACAGACATGATCAACATTCCAAGGCCTTGCACCAGGGCTCCTGAAGAAACCTGAGCTGCTTGGAATGTTACTGACATTCTTCCGATCCCAAGTAGCCAATATGAGAGCTTCGGACTTCTGATGTAGTAGTCATAGCTACAGAAGAAGTAGTGGTGCAAAGGCGTGCAGCCTTGCACACTGAGCTGTCGACCACCAATGTGGATAGCTCGTCGACAATCTCCTTGTGACACCTTGAATACTGCACGGATCGCTGATATCAACTACCAGCATGAGCTGAAACGAATCGACTACACTCTGTGCATGTTCACCATTCTTTTGACAGCCTGACACCTATTATGCCTATTGAAGTCCGCATTTCACTGCACATGCTCTGCGCATGCTACAAATGCCCGAAGTTACTCAGTCGCAGCGAAACCGCGATGATCGCCACAATACCGAGGACAGGACTTCTCCATCTCTGCAGCGTTCGTGACCTTCTTCACGCCCAAGGAAGCAGCCCCAGACCTTCGTCAAGCAGGCGAATTCCTGGAATTGGTGGCCGCACACTCTGTGGCCTGTCTCGGCATAAGTGCGACCCGCTGCTCAGAAGCATAGCTGAGGTGTCTGCACAGGTTTCAGCACAGCAGGAAATCCGACCTGGGTGTTGCGCGAAGGTCTTCCGCTTCCATCTGCTTCATTGTCAACTTGCGATTGAATCTCTACTATTCTAAGCCTTGTGGTAGAAAACGCGGTGAAAGGGAGCGGAGCTTGAAGCAGGGAGCTCACAACACAAACGCTGAATACGTCATTGCTATCTCCGAGAATCGGCTCAGTAGCGCCCTCCCCTGCGCTTCTGCGGCCCAGCAGCAACCTGACTAGCTTCCTTCAGCTTCGACTTGTCATCAATCAGGAAATTCCTCTGGGGCAACTTCTGTACTCTGAACCGAGCTCACAGCTCAATCAGCGCATACTCCAAACGCACCCTCCTTAAAGTCGCTTGACAATACTAAATACTGTAAAGTTTCCCACGGCCCATGGTCAGTCCTGGGTGTTGGTAGCCCTGCCGCCTTCAAGCAACCTCGCGTGGCGTGCCTCGGGGCCCAGCCGCAGCACGACGACACTGTCACATTGAGGTGGGCATCGCATGAGGTCGGGCATGCTCGCAACAAGTCCATCTTTGCCCCCTATCCTTCACCTGCAGAAAACTATTGTGCTGTCGCTGCGGAGCAAGCCTGGGGCTCGATTTGCAAGAGCGACTTGCAAGAGCGATTTGGCAGGCTTCCAAATTGGAACAAAGCTAAGCAAGCCGCTTGTTCCGCGCTGCGTCCACAGCTGCCGGCCTCAGGCCTCTCCATATACACATATTTACAACCGTCAATTTGCTTTGTGGGGGGGGGGGGAATGCAAGCGGATCGAAATGAAATAAGAGTGAAGAACACGGTCACGTCACAGCATTCCGAATTCCTGGGTCCCCTCATTGTGCGCTTGGTTCCAGCATTTGGGCTTTCTTTTCAAAACATCTGTGTGGAGAGACCGCTTGCTGCCCCTTTAAACCCCCTAACCCCTTAAAAACTTCCACAAAGCCACCACCGACGACATGCAACAGTGATAAACAATTAAGAAACAATCTCCCATACCCCTCAAACACCCCGTTTCAACCCTTCGAAGCCCGCTGTGCAAGCCCACTGCAACACCCTCAAACTACCCCAATTAACAAACCTTTCGAAGTGCCTTTGTCAAATGCCCTCCCTTGACGGCATTATGACAAAAACAACATTAATCGTTTCTATCGTTTCTTTAAAACAAATATTCTAGCATTCATAATATTAGTCATGCTAAGAAGATTAGCAATTTTTGCAATATTAACAATATTCGGCATGTCTCGTTGAGCCCCTGCCTGGCAGGCCCAGCGCCTCGGCCAGGCGAGCGGCCAAAGGCACGGAGAGCTCCACGAAGGTGGCCTTTGAAGGGCTTCTTCTTTTTTGGAGCTTCGTTTTTTGGCGCTTTTGTTTGAGGGATTTCCAAAGGTCTTTTTTGGGGGAATTTTAAGGAGGTTGGGATGTTGATCTCCTTTTCATCAACTTGTCAAGTGAGTTGGAACACGTCGAATTCATGGCCTTTTCAGTTGGTGCCTGGACATCCATCCTGCTCAGCCCTAAGTTTGGTATCAAGCGCTTCTCAAGACTCGTGCCCCTTCATGTTTTCGCAGAATCAGCGTCAAGAAGAGTCTCACAGATAGGTTCAGGGGCTGAGTGAAGGGACTTTCCTGGCTAGTGTTGGTCTTCGTCCTTGCTTCTTCATTGTGCTACGAACGGTCTCGATTCCGTTAGTTCGTGGTTGCCTCCATCTTGATTGCCGAGTTGGTCTTCTGTCGACGAGAAATGTTGTTTCGGGCTCTTTGCGGCAGCTTTTGCTTGCTAGTTGCAAGTGTGCTGGCACAGCATTGCATGATGGTCTTCGAGCTCAAGCCAAGCCACAATACCGTCTGCGGTGCCAGTGAGACCATCCTGCAGGGAACTTTGCAAACATTCGCAGAGCGTAGACATGTCGATCCCACTAACTGGCTCGATATCGTGTGTTGCAGAACGCTCCGGCGGGCCTCGCCCAGGCTTTTGATGTGCTCTAGCGCCCTTGGCATCTTTTGAGGAGAGACGAGAGCATGATCCAGCTCATTCCAGCTCTCTTCTTAAAATGCGAAGATGGCAACAGTGATGCTTGGGGTGAGGCTGATTGAAAATGTCGTCTGAAGACTGCGTCATGTCGACCTCGTGGTTCGGTCATGGTGGCAGACCCTATTTCGCCCTACGAGAAACGGCTCTTTTGCCTTTCCAGCTTGTAGTTGCGAAGTTCTGAGGCTCCGGCAGGGATAAACTTTGCAGCCAGGCCCTCGTCTACGAGGCTCCTGGAAGCAGCTTGTGGCTCCGCTGTTAGCTTTACTTTCCGAGCTTCGCTTGCGCGTAAGAGCAGCTCCGTGCATGCAATTCTATCGCTAATTGTGGCTCAAGTGCATCCCAACCATCTGTGTGGGCATCTACAAGTAGGAATCTAAGCTTTGGCCTGAGTGCAACTTGAGCTTTCATGCTCTTTCGCTCGCACACTTCAGAGCCAACGATGAACATGGAGTTCGTGAGCGAGGGGCCTGCTCCAAGAATCAGGGTGCTCGAGGATCACAGGCTTGATCTCAGCAGGTGTCAAGAGTAAATAGTACTGAGTAGGCGCTCTCGGTCAGTCATTCAGGCAGGCACTCAAAACGTGACGTTGCCGGGATGTGCTAAGCATGGCAGCATCGACCCACCGTTTCAAGCGCAGCAAACTTGTGAGGTCAGGAAACATGGCTATGAATCAGAACGTCTCTGGCACCTGAACATGCAGACTTTCCAACACCTCTAGCCTGCGGTTGACTACTTCGACAGTTTTGAGGGGTGCACGCCCAGAGATGCCGCGATCTCAAAAGTGAACCTGGCAAGCAGATGCAAGAGTTCCTGCTTGTCACAACCAAGCTTCATCCTGGCATTCTCGAAGAGGCAGCGTGTACAAACACCATGTCATGCCTCAGTACATCCCGACACCACGCTGAGCCGAAGCCTCTTCCCGGGCAGGCCGGCGGTGACGAAGACCACAGTGGCACCCCGCATCAGTTGCCTGTGCTTCTCAACTTCTTAAATGTACTGCTGCCTTGCCGCTTGCAGTGCACGAAGACACGGGTAATGGGGCTGGTGGCCTTCGCAGCTTCTTGGCCGACTCGTCGGCCTTCGTCAACAGCTTCTTTGGCACCTGTCTCAGAGGACTCAGTTCTCAGTGCTATTGTCGAGGGATGTTTCGAGAATGTGTCAAGATGAGCTTGCAGGCTTATTAGTCTCATCAGGCTCCCCACCTGCGCCAACATCCGGAAAGTGGCTGTGGGAAGCAGCTGCCGGATGGCTTCCTGTCAAAGGACATATGCTGAGAATCTGTGGCACCGTGCGCAGCCAGTCACAAAACAGCGAAGAACCACTTCATCTGCAGATCTGCAGGTGAAGACTGGCAAGCCATTGCTTTCAGGATTGGACGACTTCCAGCACAGACACGTGCGTCTTGTGAGACGCTGCGGAAACACATCAGGGTTGAAACGCTTGCAGCCTTGCTGCCTTGCAGCAGGCTTTTGATGTAGCTTAATCCGCCGAGGCCTCGGACCCCAGGTGTAGGGGGACTCGCACCCCCCCGAATCCCAGCCCCAACCCGCAGGGGTACATGAGGCATGACTGCGCGAAGCCTCTCAAAGCCCTGAAGCCTTTTCTAACAGCTCCTTCACACACGTGATCTCCGGTTTGGCCTCGCCACTGGGCAGGCCCAGGCCAAGGCGGGTCGCGCAGCTTTAAACTTATTGCTTCTATGACTCATATGACGATGAAGCATCGGTCTTCGACAGCCTTTCGATGGCGAAGCTTTCACTTCCGAACATTCCGATGAAGAAATATGGCAGCCCATAGTAGCATAGAAAAGTCTCGCAGCCCAATACATTTTGCACTATCCCAGGCCTCAGGCCCGATGCACCGAGATGCTCAGTGACTGCTGAAGGCAAACTATCAGTGTAAGCTGGCATTGTCGGATGCATTGAGTCCTCTCGCTGATCCGCCGTCAGTGGTGGCGGCAGTCTACCAGGAGAAGCGAGCAACATCTCTTTTTCGAACCTGTCGGGGCAGTTTTTCAAGCTTCTCGATGGGAAGGCTCATGCTGGCCATGTGACATGTGACTGCATCTCCAGCCAGCCAACCTGGTTCGTTCTCGATTTGATGCTCCAACACGATCTGATGCAGAACAGGCAGGCGGGAAGACGGTCTCACATTCAATGATCTGGTTAAGAATGCGGTCGGGCTGTACCGATCTCTGGCTTTGTCGAACCCTTGACACATCTTGGTTTCTGGCTGGCTGGGATGTCGGTGTCAATCGTCTGCGTTCCTGTCAAGTCATTCCGCTCTGCAACAATGCCAACACCATACCTTGCCATTCTTTCTGTGCCATACCAGTTGCTCTTACTTGCTCCTTGCCATCCTGTGGCCCGGGACACAGCTCCAAGGAAAGTAGCTGAGCGTCTGGCGGGCCTCAGCCTTCTGACCTTTACGGATCACATGAGGTCAGTTTAGAGCATACATTTGCCACCGACCCATTTCGGGGGACCCCCGAATTACTAGGAACCCCTGGGACGTCCTGCGGACCATACACGAAACTTGGCTTTTCCAAGAAAGTCTCCTGCAAAACCTGCACCAGGACCAAGATTTTCCGGCTTCCGAAAGGCTTTTTCAGGTAGTTCTGTTCCAAAAACGTAGCACGTTTGATTGGATTTTTTGCTCCCCCCTCCGACGAGTTGTGAGCCTGTTTCGTCGGCCTGAGCCGGAGGATCCGAAATCTTATGTGGCACCGTGGAGATCTTTGGCGAAACGTTTTCCTGCAAGCCATGGACCTCGCTGCCTTCAGCTGGGTGCAGGGCTGCCATCATCAATGTCTATCACGATGTCGAAGTCGACAGGCCCCGGCCCATCCTGAAGCACGTTCGCAGCAGGGCTTCCTGTGAATGAACGAAATCATTGGTTCCAGATGAATGTCATGGTTTCCCATTGGTGCAGAGCATCCACGGGATGCAATGCCACAGCAGCATAGCAACAGCAACAACAGGAAGAGCCACATCTGCACGTACATTCGCCCCCGTGCAGTGCAGCTAGAAGTAGTGGGTTGAATCTGTGAGGCTATGGATGACCATGACATCCTACTCCTTCTGATTTTGCTGGATCTACCCTGAGAGTAAGTGAGACAGATGCAAGCTGGGCTGGGCATGCTGGGCATGCTGGGCTTTCGCACGAGAGAGGACATCGATGGTCGTTGCCGTGGGATCGGAGAAGCCTTGCAGAACCACAGCCTATGCTTTCTCAAGGCCCAACTGAGCACTCGACAACGACTTCAGAGTAATGACTCCAAGGTCTGCGCCCAATCAAAAGATGTTTTGGGAGATGCCCTTAGCAGGATTTCTTGAAATTTCTTGGCGGTTCGTCGTGGTGCTGTCCTGACGAGCTCGCCTGAAAAAAATTGCCTGGATGCAAGGTTGCTTGGCCCCAAGCTGCCATGTCCCTTCTCGGGACCGCTCCAGCTGCAAAGCCTGGTGAGTCCGTCGGCCCAAGCACCAATGAGAAAGCAACCTCACTGTCCCGATGGCCCCAAGCTGGCAACCTCCGTGTACGAAGTTACTGGTCGGGGCTGCTTCTGCGGAGAGCCTGCGCCACGGAAAAAAAAGGTAGGCAGTTGATACATTTCATACGCAAGGGCAATGACCAACGGCATTTGGTACAGGAAAGTCACCAAGGCTGCAGCTGTCTGGATGGAGCTCATGTGTTTTGGACAGAAGACCTGCAGATTCCATGCCAGGGATGCGGAGCTCCGGCCAGGACAGGAAGAAGAGTTCTTATGTGGTGGCGATGGCCTTCAAAACAGCCGCCACAACAGCTCATACCGAGTACCGCAAAATCGCAAGGCAAGGGCCCAACAGCGTAAGGAGCTCTGAAAGCAAAGCTGCTGCGGAGTGAGAATCAGGTCCGCTGATGGTTCCTACAACCTCGCACCTAAACTTTACCCAGCTGCATACTTTCTGGCTGTCCATCCTATAGGGGCACCGCTTCAGCCCCAATCTCATCTCATGGGCGTCGTCCCAACTTAACATGCCTGCTTGGCATAGGCGTCGCAGCAGCCGTAGCTTTTTTCGGGACGCTGAAAGCCGGTTCGCCCGACATCCAGTCTCGAAACCCCTCATCCAGATCGTTGTAGCCCTGCTCATGGAGCTGCTCCCGCGCAGCGCTGCTATACCTCTCAGGGAGGGCACATCTGGGCACATGGCAGGGCAACCCGAGGTGGGTGGTCTCCACATGAGCACTTGCCGTCAGTTGGGTAGCCAAGCCACCATCGCAAGTAGCAATCTGTCGGCTGCACGGAGGAAACGCCTAAATGCGGAGATGCTTCGAAGCTGAGTACTTTGCAGCAACACGAACCTCAATGCTGGTGGGGCAGTACATTCCCCTTCAAGGCAGGGGTCTTCTTCATGCAGTTACTCTGTGCTGGATCGGATCACTCCATCAAGGTGAGAGCATGTTTGTGCCCATGGGTTTGCAGGCAAGCATCGCTTTAGGATGAAGATCTCGTAGGCATCGCTGGCGTACTTGCCTCTTAGTTGGTGGCAGTCCGATCTTCTACCAGCGAAGTCGTAGAATAACTATCTGTGTAAGTTGTGTCCTTACTCCTGGTGCTTGCCCCGGGCTCTATCTGCCCACCAAATACGCTTCTTCACAGCAGCAAGTGGCAAACATTCGTCTGGCATGTTGCTCTAAGATGCGGGCCTACGCCATGGAACCTGAAGGGCACAAGGCAGATTTGGAACTGTGCAGACTGGGGCAAAGCCCCCGTCGAAGCAGACGTCCCCGGCTCCGTCACCGGCTTAGACAAGCCCGTCCCCACAAAGCGAAGAGCAGGGGGATAAGCATGACTTGATAGCAGGGGGACAAGCCCGTCTTGTTGGCAGTGGCAACCAACAAGCTCCGCGTGCGACAAGGTAGCCTTCGCACATGCTCCAAGGAGATGTTGCCGTCTGCTTCTTTTTGTGCCTGCTGGGATCAGTTGGCTGATTCGATTCAATAGCCAAGTCTTTTCTTCACGGTGGCGCAGCCAATTCTCAGCATCACATGGTGTCAAGAGACGCATAGCACGATTTGTGCAGCCTCAAGGAACTCGGAGCTCAAGCGCCGGAGCATTCGAGCCTCACGGCAGTCCGGACAAGCATGAACCAGCTGGCGTCAGCACAGTGCAGGTATCTAAGAACATGGTGCGGAAGGCTGACGACCGCGACTAAGGACGAGTTGAGCCATGGCATGCCGCAGAGCTTAGAGCAAAGCTCGTTTTCGATGCAGGCCAAGAGGAAGGAAGATCCTGCAACTTGACATGTCTGACGAGTACTGTGAACACACGAGGATCCCAAACGCTCGACTCGCATGCGCTTGGCGAGCACAGACGGTCTCAATGCATGCCCCGGTACTGTCAGTTGTTGAGGAAAACAGAACAGATGAAGTGATACCATTGATCCATCTCAGATGGGGTCACAACCCACACCATCACCCAAGCTCGCCAACAAGAAGTCAGGGAATCATGAAACGTGAGCGTCACGCCTGTGCAGCACATCAGGCGCAGTAGCCAGAAGCTCATGCGGGCCTGCAAAGGACGGAGCGCTGTCGGGACATCTTTGAATCAAAGGGGAAGTAGAGTGCAGTCGCCTGGGCAAATGCTAAGGAACTCCGGCAGCACTCGGTCCACTGCCTTAGGCCCAAGGGGGTTGTACAACGTACGGCTACGACGTACTAGTAGCACATGCTAGCACAAGAGTACCACGTCACACCCTGAGGATGGGACAAGCCGACCTGTCTTGTTGAGCAGGACGCATGTCACCTGGCCAAGGGCCGTCTTTGTCAAACATTGTCGTCAAGATCCATGCATATAAAGACCCAGAATAATTATAAGGCTTGAAGATGAGATGGTTATCAAACAAAACTTGAAGAACCCAAGGGTCATCGTGGTTCATGTGAGGCTTCATCAGGGTTCATCCGCTCCATGTCGCACGCACACAAAACCGTAGCCCTGACATGCTGCGCACCAGCAGCTGCCAGGGATTGTCTGCCAGGAGCTCCTCCACCAGCCCGAAAGGGCTCTCTAAGACCTGGGGGCCAATGTACTGAAGACATCTGAGTAGGGCTTAGGTGAGATGCAGAAACACTAAGTGTGATGTGTTGTAGTTCTGTGTAGGGCTTAGGGCTTCGTCCCCACAGCATCTCATGTGAGAGTCGCGTACTTCACGGCAACTAGTGCAGGTAGCGAGTAGGTGGCCGTGTAGTGTGAATGTTGGATGCAGTGAGTGCTATGCAGTGAGTGCTGGCAGCAAAGAGAGCATCTGGAGTTTCTCCGCGTTCCCAGAACCACTTGCTCTTTGGCAACTTTGGGCAACACTTCGAGATGCTCGTCGTCTTGCCTCTCGGAATACTGCAAGTATGCTGCAGTATCTACAGGCCGCAGATGCCCACAGCCCTTCAAGGGCCCCTCATGATCTGTTCATTGCGCTACAGGTCGAAGACTGTTCCGGCGATGGTCGACCAGGTTGCGGAAGGCCTCCGCCTTCCGCTTTGCGGGTCAGAAAACATCCATCAATTCTTGAGCTGGTGCAGTTTAGGGTGTAGGGTTTAGGCTTATACTGGTATGAGATTCAAGGGCATCCAAAGGTCCAAGGGGTCCTCGCCTCCGGCGCTGACAGGGCCCAGCTTTGCTGGCCTGTTCATGTTCACATCATGGACCTAAATGCCTAGAGGCCTAAGCCATGGCTATCCAGACGATCCATGACTATCCATGACTGCTTGGGGCTCTTCCTTACCTTCCCTGCTGCCTTCTTCTGAGCGAAGCCGCAGCTCGCAGCACTGCGAGGTGCTAGGGCCTCGGCAGTCAGAAGTATCAGCCAGTCATTACTGACACTTGATGCACGCTTTTGTTGCAGCTTTCTGCACTCTTGTTCTCACACTCTTGCATCCCTTGGGAGGTCCCTGCGTGTGGATGCCCAGCAGCGGCAAGCGAGACACCAGCATGCGTCTGCGTCCTGAAACAGAAACACTGAGTGCTTGAAAGAGGCTTCTTTTGTCGGGCCCCAATCGGACGCGGTATTGTCCAAGTACGACAGGGGGTGGCCCAGAATGGACACCGAAAGTGTTCGGGCCTGGTGTGGATTGCTTAGCACATTCAAGCATTACGTTTTCAGGTCGGGGCTGGCAGGCGCGGCGTTAGACAAAACACACACGTGTCTGCGCAGTCGTCCTCCTGTCGCAGTTCGTGCAACACCTGACATGCGCTGAGGTCTTGCGCTGCAGGATGTCATGAGGAATGCATTCTAAACCGATCCGCCGTTCCAAGCACAGACTGGTAGCACGAACTCGATGCACTAAGATCATGACCTGTCGGTTGCTGGAAGATCTGAAGTACGACGGCACCTGTGCCGATTCATAGGCACCAGCTGGCACCAGCTGGTCACCAGTTCCACCAGCCCCGAATGACAGAATCACTTGTTCAGAGGCGCCCAGTCCAAATACGCCACGGTGCTGCATGAGGTACTAGCATCTGCACGTAAGTTCCTCGCATCCGTGGACTGCTCTCGATGCTGTGCTACACATTACTTGTCAGTGAAGCATGCGCCAAGTGGCAATGTCAGTGAGAATATCAACTTGTTCATTGCCTGGTAGCAAGTGAGGCATGTTTGCAGCTATGAGTAGGAAACTGCACAGCCTCAAGCTGAACACAGGGCACAATCGCCGCAAAGAATGATGGGCTGCATTTGCTGCCTGGTTCACCTCCACCTCCAGATGCATCGGCCGCGTTGGCGGGAGTGGCCAAGTGATGGGCGGCGGAAATCGGCCCCTGAGTCAAAGGCCAGATTCAGTCGCAGAGGCTGTACAGATGAGAGCTCTTTGATGGCTTTGTCGCAAGGCTTATCCAACATGCAACCCGCCTGCAAACATTAAGCCAGCGGTGGCAAACACAATGTAGGCGTACCTGCTTCTTGCTGCTGCATGCTGCTGCATTTTGTCGGAGAACGATTTGCGAACGCCGCATCCGAAGAATCGGTGTCTGGGGTGACGACTCGGTTTTTTGACATCCTGAGCTGTGCAGCGCAAAGCAAGACAAGGCGGCATTCCTGGGCCGGTTGGTGATGTAGTCACTTAGTAGCTACCAGCAAGCTTCGAGAGAATGAGCTGCAGAAGCTCGTCATCGCCATCTCCAGCTGCGCCTTCAAGACGATACGCCCGCGTGGCAGCTTGCATCTCCGAAGAGTTATGGACTTACTCGCGTCAGAATATGCGGAAGAAAACGCCCCGTGCCTGCGGCCAGCAAGGCAATCTCCATCTTGGCGCCAAGGAGCCTCCAGGACTGCCGGCCATGGCTACAACCCCATGAAATTTTGCTATTGACATAGAAATCTAAATGTATGTCCGACCCATGCATGTCTATGACTGTCGCTCTTTGCCCAGGACTGTTTGGGTTACCAATCCACTGCGTGGCGCCTTGACTTTGAGCCGCGAGATGCAGAGCACGTGCCATCTCTGTTGAACTTCTGCACCACGCAACTGCAGGAAGTTGGACACTGTGTGGATGTCAGCTCTAAACAGCGCAGGGTCATGTGCAAGCCTGCCGCTTTCCTTCGAAACCTCTTCTGCACTAGTGGGGCTTCAGTACTTGAAGGTGCCGTGCGAGAGCAGCAAGAGTTCATCCTCAGATGGGCATGCCAGCCTCTGTGATGATGGTCGGCTGCCATATATACTGGGCTTGAAGAATTGGTATGGCCCGTTTGGGAGGCTTTTCGTAGCATCATAGCAGGCTGACCAGCAGCTTGCTGTGTCGGGCTGCGAAAGAGAACCGTCTGGGTGTTTTCGGGTGTACCTTTAAGTCCAGAGTTTGCAGATGGTGTGTTCATGTCGCGCAGACAGGGTCTACCGAGATATTCAGACGCTGATACATTCCCAATGTGCTGAATGCACTCGGGTTGACCTTTCTCGTCTCATTATTCGTAGATTAGGCATGTTGCTTGGAGTCGCGTTCTGTACCAACACTGAATGAGGAGTTGATCTGCCAAAGACTTTTTGCATTGAGAAGCAACACCAATCTCCCAGTTCAATTTGCTGCGCACAAAAGCAAGAATGGAAGCGGAGAGACAACAGCAACGACTCGATGGTGCACATTGGAGGAGCAGCCGAGCCGCAGCTCTTCTTCGCAGATCTTCGTGGCAATTAGCGAGAGGGGCTGCAGCCTGGTCGATGTCACGCGTGTTCCACCCTTCACACCTTGGGTTTCGAGGAGTGCGGAGCGATCATGAAGAGAGCGGGGCCCAACGAAGGAGATTTGATTCATGGGAGGGGCCACTAACGGACATAAGCCCACGCGCACCACAGCACTCGCTGAAAACTCTGAAATATTCTGGCCGAAGGTGCGCTGGCCTCCATGACTGTGTAGCCGAACAGCTATAGCAGTGGCGTTACTCCGCGAATCCCTCTTGCAGGTAGCGACTGGCGACGCTGCTCAACTCATCCATCCTAAGATCGTTCACAATCAGCCAATAAGCATTAGCATTGGATGGCGGAAGGATGTGGCTACTTCGCACCTGCAGTCATGCCACAGATGCCGCTCTCCGAAGCTCGGCAGTTCGAACTAGAACGACATGAATCCCCAAGAGCTGTGCTCCAACGTTCCGCGCAAGGCAATACGTCACTGAAACATACTGGGACAGCCCAGAATCAGGGGTGCTGCGTGTCGATCCAGTGCGCCCTTATCGACGGCCGTGGCAGCAGAAGCAAAGGTGGTGGCATCCGCGAGTCTGGGCTCAGAGGGAAGAGTCTCAGGTTTTCTCAGTGTGTAGTAAGTAGATTTGACTATCGCTTCAAGTTTTTAGAAGCATCTCATCCCATGCAACGCTGTACGGTAGTCTGATGCTACAACAACCCACTAAGAAGACCCCACACAAGGCCCCAAGAGGCCTTGCAAGCAGCAGCGGCTGCAGCAGCTCCCCGACCCGTGCCCACTGCCTGGCGGCGCTGAGGGTGCCAGCGGCAGCCTTGGTCTCCGAATTCTCGAGGGCAGTCTCGGATACTGCCGATAACGGAAGGAATTTTGCAATAGACAAGAGTAGTTGCGTAACAAGAAAATGCCATGATACCAAAGAAGCTATATAATACAATGAAGCATAAGACTAACATGCGACACTATTGAAATGAGATGGTGATAGAATGACAGAATGAAATAATTTTGATTCACAAACAAGAATTAATAAACATATATATATATATGTATATGTATATATATATTTTTTAATGTATAGTGCAATATAGAGAAGATCGCACTATGGCAATACAAAAAATATGGGCTTAAGTGGGTTCTGCTTGGAGCAGCTGTTCCATTCTGTTCCATTCGGAATCGGCATTGAGAGAGCACAGTGTTGCTGGGTGCCGGGTTCAATAGTATCTGAAGGATGAGACCTTCATCGTGAGAACCAGTCAATCAATCAACGCTCTATGGGATTCAACTTCAAGCGCTTTCACATTACTCAAAAGACAGGGGCATAGTGCCTAGTGGCATTGAGAGTCACCACGGTCCTTTCCATGTCCTGGTCTGAAAGGTTCTTCAGCCTTAGCGACAAAACTCAAGACCATGAACTGGCCCGCAAGTGGTCTTCTCGCCGAATCTCGGACTCTGCTCGGCGGCTCTGCTACAAGCAACACCGTTCTGTCAGTAAGACAACGCCGTTACTCAAGCAAACAACAGTGGTAACTTGTCTTCGCCTCAAATCGTCGTCCATTTGCTGCGGCCATGGAGCAGCTGTTCTGCTTCTCTCCAAAGTTTCGATGTCTCACAGGTCTTGATGACAGCCTCAAGTGACTCAAGTGCTCCGAAGGCCCGTGCAGATATTTGCAAAGCCCGCTTTGCTCACAAGTGACGCTGCATAAGAGGACGTCGTACTCCAAGCTTTCCATCTGCAACTCTGTCATCCACCACAGCCCCTGCTGCCACTGCTGAGCTCTGGCACATGCCCCAATGGCGGCCGTGTACGTCACTGCCTCAGCACATGCTGCCGATGCTGCATCGGACCATCGGACCTGCTTTCTACCGCAATCGCGCAGCCTAGGACGAACTCCAACAACACCATGAAGCTCAGGATTCCTACGTGATCAAGCCAAGGTGCGTTAGCTCTACAGTGTGCACCACGGAAGATAGAGAAGAGATGCAGAGCATGGTCGGGCTGCGTGCAGCGAACACAACTGCTCATGATGCTGCTGAGCGTAGCAACGTCGCTTCGCAGTTTGAGCTGGCTGAGCTCTGTCAGCAATGACAGTGCAGTCTCCCAGGCTCCTCCCTTCTCACATGTGGCAATCGCTGCATTGTACATGATCAGATTGGGAGTTTGTGTCAACTCGGCTAGCTGTAGCACTGCGTGCTGCCAAAGCCCAGATTTTTTCCAGGAGTTGATGACGGCTCCAAAGGTGACGTTGTCGCTCCGAATCTGCTTGTCTTGCATGTCTGACAAGAGCTGGACCACAGCGAGCCACGCACCGCTCCCGCCACATGCGCTGATCGTGGCGTTGTAGACCACAACATCTGCTTGAACCCCTTGGATACTGTCTTCCCCAACTCGTCAATGCCAACCAAAGCCGGGAACAGTAGCAACTGTGACATTTACATGTGCCGAGATTTGCATCTAAGACTTTCAGCAGTGGCGCTGCCATGCTCCAGCTCTGCGAGAAGCATCAATGCCTTGGTTTCAGTTGTAATGCCATGTTGCGATCTTGCCTGACACACACACACACAGTGGCCGAGGCGATCGATGCATGATTCATGAAGAATGCCTGTGTTCATCACTGATTATCACCGTTCCATGCAACCAAGGGGCATGCTGCCAATGTCCATCTGATTCACAGGCACTGATCACACTGCTGTAGGTATGAACATTCCTGAAATTCTGAATCTCAACCTACTGCTCTCCACTATCTCGACTCTGTGTAGGCGACTCGAGGCCTTGCAGAGCCTCACAAGATCTGCAATTTCCAGACTTCCAGATCCCCAAACATGTTGCAAGAATGGAGTTTTTGGAGAAATCGTCCATTCTCATTTGCCTCCAAGCTACGGCTGGACCTTGCCTTCCTTGAGCTGAGCCAGAAGATGAACGGCTCTGGTCCAGCAGCTCTCCTTACTGCATCGCGATGTGCAAAACATGCGTAATCGTGTGCAAAACATGTGCAACACATCTCTCAACACACTGCAGAGGATCACCTTCCAGCTTCTGAGGGATGCTTCGAGGCGGACTTAGCATGTTGCATGCCAGCGTCGACTGCGCATGCGCTTATGGCCGACGTGTAGGCAAAGCACAGTGAGCCTGCACTTCCAGTCACACGCATATACGGCCGTGTGCAAGGCTAAGTCAAGAGCAAACATTGCAGGCAGATCCTGGTGCATTTTCGCTTTGGCATTCACAGTGCTTCCTCGACGCCAGCCTCCATCTGAATTGGGCTCGAGCTGTTCCTTGACGAGGTAGCTTAGGAGTAGCATGGCGCCTTGCCAATGTAGACCTCCCAACGAGCCATTGAAAGGAGCAGATAGGAGTCATGGGACTACAAGCAGAAGCCCTTCACCAGTTCGAACCTCGGCCGGCCTTTTGCGCAGGCGCTAATGGCAGTGCTGGCGGTGATGACGTTGTTCTGCAATCGCGATTCCGTGGAATCTGAGAAGATGTAAAGGGAGGCCTTCCACTTGCCCACCTTCTCTAGGGAGCTTATTATCGCCCCATGGATGACCACATTGGTATGCCGGTAAGAGGAGGCCTCCCAGAGCTGGAGAGCCCTCTCCCAGATCTTGGCTTTGCCACAGGCATTCACAGCTGTACTATGCGTGCCAGCAGTTCCTTGTAGCTGCAGTTTGCAGACTTCGTAGAATAGCTGGGTCGCTGCTGCCCACTGCACCTTCCGGACGCACGCTGATAGAGCCTTGTTCTGCAAGTCGATGTCCCATCTTCTATCGATGTTGCTCAACATGTCCACGGACAGTGAACCTTCATGTGATCGCTGGTCAAACAGCTCGGTATGATGGTCTCGTAGACTTGAGGCAGCTGCTTTGAAACTTGTGACCATCCTTGGCTGCAAGGGTCGAACATGATTCTGCTGATCACACACGTTGTGCTCTCCCCAAGTGGTGGTCAGCTCTGACTTGCAGCACTTGGTAGGTGAGGATCTGGCAACCAAACCTCTCCCCCCCTCCCCCCCCCGCCCCCCCAAATGCAGCAATGGAGCTATACACACGCTGCGCACGGTTGTCAGCTTGCGGACTTTCTGCTTCGAGATCTGCGCCACTTCGCGGTCCTATGGGTTCAGCCAGCATTCCATGGCTCGAGAGAGCGTGAGCAATACATGTCCGACTGCCGCCGTGAGAGCATTCGCTGCCTGATGTCTGTGCTGAGGCAGGTTGAGGCCAGCATCTGCAGCATCGGCATCTGCGGCATCTGGGTGCTGGAGGGCGGTGATGAGGCTCGGACAAATCACCTAGCAGCACAGCAACGCAGCATCAGCACCCGCACCCAGTCGCAACAGCGCACTACTGCGAGCACAACTGCAGGCCTTGAGGCAGACCTGTCTGGTGACCAGCATGTCCAGGCGTGCACGGAGGGTGAGTCATGTTTGTGGAGAACACAAAAAACAGTGACAGGATATCGGACATAGTTAGAGCTTGTAGACTTGAAATACTCCTAAATTTTGTTCTGGCGGCACTTATCCTTTGTGGACTTCGAGCCGCGGATCAGAGTCTCACTGCAGATTGCCATGAGTGAGTGCGCTATCATGCACCTGACTTAAGCTGAGTTTCCGGACCCCTTGGCGCCAGTCAAAGCGCCACTCAAAGCTGGGTGCAGAAACCGTTGCCGTGCTCGACCTGGGTGCGAGATGTGGAGTGAAGCTGGCCCTGTCAGCCCAAGAGACTTGAGAGACTAGTGACCTGTACGGGCTAGCCTCGTTGTGACCATGAATTTCCTTCACTGCAATGTCATTTAATTCAGATCCTTCATGCCAGAGTTTGGAGGTGGCCTATGTTGGACACAGCATGGATTCAGCCTCGAGCTGCAGCAGCTTCCATGCCTCCGGGTGAGCCACATCAAGAAGCTTCAATGAGGCGAAGAGGCAGGAAGTGAATGCAGGGTCTTCTACACCACAGTCCCCTTGTACTCAGTGGATGCTCTAGAAAGGACACCAAAGGTGGAAGTTCTACAGTACGAGTAGGAAGAAGGAACGGTAAGCAGAAAGCATGAATCGACGAACACACCAACCGAACCGAATGAGCCGAAAGGCCGCGAAACCCTAAACCCTAAACCCTAAACCCTGAACCCTGAACCCCTTTGCTCCCCGGAACCTGGCGGCTTTGGCCAAGCACAGCGCCGGACGCTGCATGAAAAACCACCTTTGGGATCTGGGGGACTTGGAGGTTCAGGGGTAGATAGTGCCCTAAGTAAGGTTATCAATAGAGATGTCCTGTTTGTAGCTCTACTTAGAAAGAACTACCCAGGAACCTCCCCAAGCATTGCGTGCGTGAGGCTTTGGAGTCTGAGATGGCCGCACACCAGTAGGGTGGCTGCTGGGAGAGCGCCAGCCTTCTCACAGAGAGCTTCTTCAGCAAAACGTGTTGCGGCGTAGCCTTGCCATCTTACTTTGACTAGCTTGTCCTGAATAAGACCAGGCTTGCTGCTTTCTTCCCATGTCCACTGGAGAGAGGATCTCAGATACTCTCAGTGCTTACTCTCAGTGCTGGCTGCGTGTTGACTTCAGACTATCCGCTGATGCACCCAGCACAAGATGCAGCTGCTATGCTGCATGAGACTCCCAGCATTAGATGTCTCGGGCAGTCGTGAACCACTGAGCGAAGACTGCTCTCGTGGCATAAAAACCACATCCAGCCTTGCACTGAGGCCGGCCAGGCGGCCGGGTGGCAACACTGCCGGCAAAGTCTCAGCTCGGTCCTAGGAAGGGGCGATATGGGGAATGCACAGGACCCCTGTTTCGTTTGTCACTGCCACGTTAATCGTGTCCTGGAATGCTCGAAGTTGACGTGCAGGCTCGTAGTCGCGGAAATAGCACAAGTCTGGACACAGGTGCCTGCACAGCGTGCATGGTGTTCTCAGTGTGCTCGCAGTGTGTTCTTTTGTGCCTGAAGAAGGGGTCGCTTCAAACTACGGATCTCGGTGAAGATTCGAGTGAGTTTTCTACCAGTTTTCTGCGACAAGCACCAACGCCTGGGGGATCCACTTTGCCGGAAATGCGCGCAGCGCCTTCTTGCAATGGACACGTGCGGAGGTACAGCATGCCGACACGACATGAGGCTGAAAGTGCTGTTCCCAGTGGGGTGCTCCGTCTCCTCTCATTCCTTTAAGGATCCTTACCTGCGTTGCGCTTTCCTCATTCCTTTCTTGCCTTTCTTTCTTTCTTTCTTTCTTTCATTCTTTCTCTGAATGGCCTTGGCCTCGGGAGACCCCAGTCGCACAACTCTAAACTGGGAGAGGTGGGAAAAAAATCTGGTTGAGTCAAGTAGGTATGTTCAAGGGTCACATAGGGCTCCCTAAGAACTCTGCGCAACAGCGCGCCTCAGTTCACTGCGCACTCGTAAGTCTCTCTTCTTCTTCTTCTTCTTCTTCTTCTTCTTCTTCTTCGCCCCCGCCCTGCTGGACGGGAGGCCGGGCTGGCCATGAGGCTTTCTTTCTTTCTTTCTTTCTTGATTTTTTTGGACCTTCGTGGGGAGATGGTTGCATGCCCCGGTATAGGGCAGGACCATCACTCAATGCCCCACCCCCCCCAGACCTGTCACTCAGCTGGTAACTTGGCATGCTGCACTGCATGTGGTACATGGTGTGACTCAAAGCCAGTGCAACCAAAAGGTCCCATTGCAAACTCGGGGTCCCCCTGCAGTAGCCCTCCGGAACTCAAAGCGACTGGGACCACGCCGTCCCTCATCACTCCACCCTTGAGCTGCTATGCAACCGACCCGACAACCATCTCTCTCTTGTTCCTCTGCATGGCGGAGAGGAGGGTCTTTCTTTCTGGGGGCAAGCCCTCCTCTCTTCTTCTTCTTCTTCTGCACAGCCAAGAGGCCCCCTCGAGGAGCCCTGTTCTCTCTCTATCTCTTTCACTTCAGCTCTCGCTCTCTCTCTCTCTCTCTCTCTCTCTCTCTCTCTCTCTCTCTCTCTCTCTCTCTCTCGAAGTACGGGCCGGGGCGGCGTCCGGAGCTCCTCCAGGCTGCTCGGGGGGGACGTTGAGGCTACCTCCCAGGCTTCAAATGAGATAGGGATTCTTTGATGGTTTGTGTGCTTCGTTTTCCTTGCTTGAACATTTCGATGATCTCGGCATGCGTTGAGCATGTTCTCGTTTCAAGTCGCTTCTTGGCTACCTGCCCGAGCCTTGCCAGTCATCGGCGCAGAAGCAAAGTTTAAAGTGCGGGCAGAGTCTGAGATCTTTGCGAAACGCCGATGACATGTCCCACCATGCCTTCGAGGGCTGGGAGGCAGCCGGCCTGTACATCGAGCTGTGCAGCCCAGGACCCAAGTGGCGCTAGGAGCCTACGGCATCAGATGGCTTCGGCTGAGGTCCACGCGACATAGGTGAGCGTAACACAGGGAGAGGAAGCGCCATGGCCTGTAGGTGCAAAAGTGCACAACACAGACATGTACTATCTGACCATGGGAGTATCAAGGACTATGCGGACAGTTGTGCCGAATTTTGCACTCTCAGAGCTTGGGGCCTCCGAGCTGCCTTGCCCACGTCGTTCGCACCACGGGCAGCCCGGCAGGAAGCGCGAGGCTGCCGTCAAGAGAACAGGCTGTCTACGTGACTGTCTATGGCACTCTGCTCCCTGTATGATCTAGCTGAATTGTGCCACTTCGAGCTTTCACAGGAAAGTCAAACGACCAAACGCACCAATGCACCCACCTTGTTTGCCCCCGTGGCCACAGAACAGCTGATCTTCGACGTGGTCCCCGAGCCGGGACCAGTCCAGTTCCGGCTCCGGAACCACACTGACCTTCGCTCAAATGAACTGACGTGCACACACACATATGTACATATGTTTATACATATGTATACGAATGTCTACAGCGTTCTACGTATAGATATGCTATTCTAGTCATGTCGTCGTCATCGTCGTCATCGTGGTCGTGGTGGTGGTCGTGGTGGTCGTCGTGGTGGTCGTCGTGGTGGTCGTCATCGCCGCCGTCGTGGTCGTCTTCGTCGCCGTCATCGTCGCCGCTGCCGCTGCCGCTGCCGCTGCCGCTGCCGCTGCCGCGGTTTTCTTCTGTGTATATATATATATATATACACATTTTCATATATTGGAGGTTGCGCTGCGTTGAAGAGTGTGCATGGGGTCTTTCACGTGGTCACGTTGTCGTGAAAGTAAAGATCCTGCCAGGACCTGGACGTCGTCTTCGCAGACGAGAACGTCATCTTCGGAGGAAGAGGTGTCCAAAACAAAGGCCTTGATCTGCTGCGCTTTTACAGTGCACACCGCTTGAAAAATTTCGATCTAATTCGAGCTTTCCTTGGTGTGAGCTCAGTTCCCATCCTCGCTGGCGCGCCGAGCAACGTCTTGAGAAGGTTCAGTCTTCTGCACCTGTCAGCCACCAGAACTGGAACTGTCTAACTGCCGAATAGAACTGCCTACAGGCGCATCGTCCAGGACATCTCAGCTTCGTCCCTCGCGCTCTGGAGGAGGGCTGCAGGTTCTGTGCATTCCGGCCTTGGCCAATGGAGCTTCCTGGCCTGCAGTTGCAGGGATGTGCAGGTTGCCACTAGTACCCAAGTAAATTCACCCAGTGTGTTGAAGGGATGTTAAGGGGCCCACCAAGCCTTGCAGGTCGTCGTCAGCTCTGCGTTTGGCCTTGCAACTCGTTGCCATTGGCTTCAAGGATCTTCGCAGCAGATTTCGGAAAAACCTCGTGCGGCGCGCGCTCCAGCGGTCCCCGAAAAAAATTGAGCGCTTGAGGCTTCGGATCAGTGCTCAGTATCAGCACCGAGTGTACTTAGTGCACTCGGGCCAGGAGCTGCGCATGGACTTGAATTTTCGGGGCTGATTTCAGCACGCGGTCGAAAACAGCCAGATCGCTCTGGTGACTGCACGGTGCAGCCTCAGGGCCTCAGGGCCTCCACCGTGTCCATCTCGTCCGGTAGGCAGCTCATTTGTACGACATCGCGGGCACCGCCAGTTTCGCTGCTCCATGCTGGTCCGCGCCTTGGATTTTGGATATTCTGACAAGGCTCGGAGCTGAGGTGAGTCTGGAAGAATAGTGAGTATGTGGGGCTTCAAGCCGAGCTCAAGAGCATGAACGGAGTCACAGAAAAACGTCTATTCACGAACATGGTTCGGTCTTGTGAGCTGCGCGTGCGCTCAGCGATGATGTTGTCGGAGGAGTCGATCTGCTAGCCTTGTCGGATCAGATTTTTGAGCAGGCTGTTCTGAACTCATGAGGTGCGTGGTGGGAACCATTTACTTGGATGAGATGTGCTGTTTCGGACTCTTAAGCCACCAGATCACTACAGAGGGCTCTCCCCTAAACCCTAAGCCGCCCTCAAGAATCATAGAGCACAGATCATGTCCTGAAGAAAGCCACGGCTGCACGCCTCGGTGCTGGCCCTGCTTCTGGAAAAGCTCCTTGATGGTGGACATTCAAACAGATACACTCATTTGAACAATACCGTATATAGAGCATTGCAAAAATTCGCAAACTAGATTTATTTAGCATACTTGAATAGCTAAAACAAAAATATCCAACCAGGTAACCAATGAAAGAATTAAATTAACCAATATTGATTGTTTTGACAGTTGTTATTATCGACAATATTGTGAAATAGTTAGTGCAATTAGTTAAATGGTGATTATTTGACACCTTAACTATGCTTTAGGTCCATCTTCTCTGGGACCTCAAACAATGCCCGCGGCTGCAAACAAAGCTCCGCCAGCTGCTGCGGCGTGGTAGCCTGGTCTAGGCGCTTGTCCTGGTGGGTACGACACTTCACTGGCTCTACCAGTAGCTCGCACCAAGAGCGAGCTGGGAGATGACTTTTTTCATGCGCTGCCTTAGACCGTGGCAGGCCTCGCGTTTGCGTATGAAGCGTGGGAAGCGTAGCGAGAGGCCTCGCTTCGGATCCACCAAGCCTTCGGCAGAACCAGCGTCTAGTCTAGACACTGAGTATGCCATGACGGTCATGACATGACCAAGAAGGCCAGTCGCCCTTCGCAGCCAAATGCTTTGGAGAAATGGTGATGTCCTCGGTTGGTGCCAGGTGAACATTGCTGTCATTCGCGGGGAGGTTTCGCGAGCACCGAGTGCAAGATACTCGGACAGTTGACGAGGAGTGCTGGGTCTGCTGCTGCTCCCCGAATTTCCCAGACTTCCTCAGAAAACTCGCTCATCGCCAATTCATCACATTTCCGCTGTGATTCTCAAGGTCTAACTGTACTGCCGAGAGACACTGGGCTGGAACCAAAACCTCGGCTGCTCCAGGGTCTCGACTCCTTCGGCCTCGTGGCATCGTATGGCTTCTACTGGCTTAGATATTCACAACGTTTGCAGCAATACCCCTCCGAAACACAAGAAGGACTACAAGCGGGACAAGATCTAAAAGCACCGCCCTTGCAGTTCCGATGGCTGCCTTGGACCGCAGCTGCATCCCAACAGAGCCTCACCAAAGGTCTATGTCCGGACATTCAACTTTTTGCCTCAAGGCGCTTGCTCTCTCGGCTCGCAGGGATAATGACCGCTGAATTGTTGTCCGCAATCGAACAGCTCCCAAAAGCCCAACTCGACTCAGACTCCCCTCATCACAGCCTGGCTTGCTCGAGGCCGCCACGTCCTCCTGCCAGGATGTGAGCTCTTTTGGGTGCACAAGCTCATTTTCGCTGAAGAGCAGAGGAGCTGCAGCTATTGCCTTTTTCTTCTAGTACCCAGCGAAGAAGACCCCCCCACGAGGGGTGTTTATTGTATTTCTGTTTCACTGTTTCCTGCTTCTTCTGCTGCTGAGCATGAGGACCAGGGTTATCCCTCAAACCCTTGCGCGCAAGGCGCGCCCATCGTCCGTCGAAGTCGGTTTGGGGCCACTTGGCAAAACGAGCAGTTGTGTGGGCCCAGCGACACGAGGTTTGCTCCATTCAACCTTCATACTATCCAACAACCTGCAAACTTGAACCTCTATGGGAGGCTGCAAGACGCAAACCTTCTCATCGCCGGGCAACTGTCAGGTAGGTCATGCAAGTGTTAAGCTTTGACCTGACCGACTGGACATGAATCTCGCCTCTTCCTCTGCAGCTGCACTGTCTGCGCTCTCCACCTTGGACTTGCAGCTGAACGAGAGCGACTGGACCAGAGGCTAGGATATAGGTAGGTGCAGCAGTAGAGCTATGCATTTTACAGTCATTCGAGAGAACAGGCCTCGACTTGGCGAACTCATCAAAAATCAAACTCACACGGACCCACGATTCCACCTGCCTCAATGTCTTCCTCCTCGTCTGCCTCCTCACCTTGCATGAATGCAAATGCAAAAGGCTGTCACTGCCACTCAGTACTCTCGGTCGCGCATGGCAGGTGCTTCGCTATGCTCAGAATGGGCTCCTGACTCTTTACACGTTAAGGCTTCCACGCCGCTCACTCACGAAATTAGGGGGCATGCTCCTCCTTCTTCTTCTGCTTCTTCTTCTGCGCGGTTTAGGGCTCCCCCGAACTTCTTCTTCTTTCCACCTCCGTGCATGTGTGTACTCCCGTAATGTGCCCGCAATAGCCATCATGAACGTTCTTGCGCTGAACACTCCAGCCACTAAAGCCTCAATACGATTAACTGTTCCGGGGTACTCTCTTGGGCAAAGCCGGCTATCCCGATGCATATTAGGAATGTGTGCTTTCTCCTCAACTACTTCTTGCATGTGAGGGTTGATCGACATTCTTGCTCCGATGGGCGACCATTTAATACCCCTTGCGCTCGCCCTTGCGTGCCTTTGCGCACTTCTTGCGCGCACACCAGCTTTTGCATAATATCTTATGATAAATTCTAAACCCTACATTGCTTCGAGAAACCCTACACCTGAACCCTTTCGTGCTAAAAGGCGGACCAAACTGGGCAGCTTAGAAAGGGCTTGGGTTGTGGGCTGAGGTCTCAGGCAGGATTTGAGGCTTGAAGCTCGCAGGCTTGCGGTTCGCGCGGATGTGGTTTTAGGTTGGTGGCAGGCTCTCAATTGTAGGCCTACTACCCCGTAGTCTGCGCATGGCATCCATTGCAGCACACTACCCTGTGGGCCCAGCCTTCCGTGGCGACGCACGGCTTGAGCAACCCTTGCGCGTTTCTTGCGCCAGTCTTGCGCCAGATTTGCCAATACAGGACCCCGCTGGGCTATCAAGCCGTACAGATAGGGTTGAGAATCAACCCTAATCCAGGCCGCTGTTGGGTAGGCGGGCGCAGTCGATCGCTCAGCGAGACCATGGCAGGCTCTGCTGAGCTGCAAAGCCTGCAACCGCACCCCTAAGGGGTCGCCAAGCTCAGTCACTGAGTCTCTATCAATACCCGAACCCCGGGAGGCGTGCTTTAGTGAACCGCGTTCGCTTCAAAATCAATCGGGTTTACCACGAAGTTCTCATGTAGATGGCTTTGTGTATAGATACATTAAACATGCCCCTGCGCGCTCTTGCGCCCGCCCTTGCGCGTTCTTGCGCGTGCAGCATGTTTGGAAGGCTTTTTCAAGAGTGGTCTTATGAATAAATCACCTCTGTAGTACTACGTCAAGAGCAGGGGGTTTAGAACAACCCTCATGTGCTGAGGGTTGGATAAGGTTGCCATGGTGTGATGCCTTTCCAGGTCTCCAACTGTGTAAATTTGTTGTGGCACAAGTAAGCTATATCTTTTTTACCCTTCAAGAATGCAGGCGTTCACTCGGTCTCTTCTTGTTAGCAGGAGGCAGCCTCTGTATCAGCCACCATTGCTGCATATCACTTCGTGCACCCAATCCTCCACTGCTGGCAGCCAAGCCGCCTTCATGAGCCTCCTCGACCTTGCCGCCGACTTGGAGCTCGCGGCCCAGGTAGCGGATCGTGTTCTCCTCACTTCCACCGACCATCGTTGTAATTATAAATACTCATTTATGTTGGATCTGAGTTGTGTTTAAAAGCTGTCCTTGTAGAACTGATCGCTGAAGCCGGACATGACTCGGCAAACTGAGCCAAAGGTACCCTCAACCGGGTCATACCTCGGGACAACGCTGGCTCTCAGCAGATTCCTGGCGTACCCTGCGCGTGCAGAGACTTGCACCCCCAGTGGACAACTTTGGTGCCGGGCGTGGCCAGGAGCCACGGCGACACCCAGCGCGACTTGCGGCCGCTGCCGCGCCAGCCGCCGATGGGGATCCTCGGTATTTACGTGGGGCAAAGGATCTTTCTCGCATGTTCTTCTTACCATTCGTACTGTCAGAACCAAGGGACCAACAAGGATTGATAAGAATGGACGCAATGCCATTTATAATCAAAATTCGAATGAACCTTCCAACCGTAAGCTTGCCGCAAAGAGGCAAGTCGAGCGAGTCTCCCATGCTCTCCACATAGTCCTCAGCACACTGCTCGTTGGCTCCAAGTTAGTGTGGAACAAAACCGAACAGGTCTCTCAAGCCGATGAACAACCTGTCATGCGTCCGTAAACTCCAAAAACCCGATTTGCGAACACAACCCTGTGTCCAGTTTAGATAGGCTGCTTTCTTCAGCTTGAGCCAGCAATCCGACCGCTTTGTTGAAGGCTCGTAGCCTGAACCCAAATGCTTCACCTCAAGGATTCCATGGCTTCAGGCGACACACAATGGCTTCAGCTGCGATTGCTTCTCATGAATCTGCAGACCAGGCACCATCAAGCCCTCGCACGACATGGCCACGGAACGCCGCAAAGCAGCCTTGAGGCCATGCGGCCATGGGTACAAAAGACGCGTGAATGTGTTGAGGCTTGGGCGAGGTTTTGCCAGTCTGACTGTCAGTCTTTACATGTCCCCATGTACAGCAAGCAGCCCAACATAGCTCAGTGAAGTGGGCAGCAGAGTGGACTTGGCTTTGCCAGAACTGCCGGCACTGGAATGTAGCGTTGTGCAGCTTTCGCCCAGCTCAAAGCCGGGGCTGGAAACAAGATAAAGATACCGTACGTAAGCAGCAGAGCACAGTTCCATGCAGGTGTCTTATGGTTGAGTGCCCCTTGACCCACTGGCGAGCCTCGAGAGTGGCTTCAGCCGTGCCAGCGCTGCCCTGGGCGCAGCATTTCCAAACTCCAAACTCCAAACAGTCAAAAAATCTGTTAAGTTATGTTAAATTGTTAAACTTAAACTCTAGGAAAACCTCTGAATCACGCAAGCCGGCAGTTTCAGCCATCATGGCATGACCCCCAGCATGATGCATGAGCTTCCTTAGATCATCTGCCTCCAAGTCCTCTGCTTCGGCATAGGCCACAAGATCCTCCCAAGTGCTATGCGATGTGACTTCGTTCTTTCGACATTTGCAACCAATATGAACACTCACCATTGCCGATACACATATTTGTCTATATAAGGAGGCCATAGGAGGCCCATAGGCACCCACCAGCAGCAGCGAGAAAGACCCTACTTTCCTTCAGTCCTCCACTTCTGCAAAGCTCTGGCGGAGTTTTTCTCGACGGTGATGGAAGGGCAACGAAATGAGAGGCTCCTTGCAAAGCCGATAGAAGCGGGTTCAGCGATGTCGGGTATTGTGCAGTACCTTTCCGAAGCTGCAGGTCACATCTCGGGCCTCCCCCAAAAAGAGGAGGTCGAAAAGAAACACCTTCACCTCAGCTTACCATCCCATTGCCATTGGTCTGTGTCATGCTTAGGTTTCAAGTGACCCTGGCCAGGTCGATTCCGCGGATGCCTTCCGTAAGACATCAACCCATCTACTGGTAGCTGGGTCACGGCCACGGACGCCGTGGCTGCGTTGGCTTCTGTGACATTCCTCGGATGCTTGTGCTGCATCTCTGCTGATGTCGGTAGCTGAAGGCTTCATGCACCATCATGCACCTCACCAAAAGCTCCATGTCCTGCCTAGCCAAGACTCTTTCGCTTTCGAGTGGCCAGTGACTGGAAAGCCTCAATGGACCCCTAATCCGCAGCTCTCGAACAACAAGTACGACTTGCTTGTCCTTTACCGGAGCGGAGCACGTTACAAGGCACTTGGGCAGAACGAAGGGGCATCTTTCGACAAGGCACAGCAATTTCCACCTTGGTGCTGTCTTTCCCTTCCAGGTCCTTGCTGCTCTCCGCCTGACTGCATGCTCGAGCAGACCCAGCTGTCCAAGAACAACGCGTCTTGAATTGTTGCCTCCCCCGTGTTCGACTCCTTGGGCACCACGGCAACCTCAGTGTTGCTGTACAAGGGCGCACGCCGACAGACTTTCATGCAAAAACCCACAGGGTCGCTTGCTGATCTCCCGATGACAAGCAACAATCTCGGCGTCAAGCACGCAGGGCACCTGCATCCTGGAAGATCGCAACACAGCTTTGACGACATCTGGATACCTGAGGCGAGCAGATCCATACTATGCCATACATGCACAAGGAGAGAGACAGAGCTGGAGCTTCACAGACAGTCCACAGAGTTGATCGAAACAAGTTGCTTGTACGTCATGTCATCTAGCTTCCGCGAGAAGATCTTCACAGTACCTTTGGCGTTCGAAGCAGGTTTTTTGACATCAGCAAGGCCTATGAAAAAATCAGCAAGACATTTTTCAGGAAGGCAAGTGCATGGTGCGGGACAAGGGGAAGGTGCGATGCGCGCTTGACTGCGGCTGTCCACCATGTTTGCCGCGTGGGCGCTCACACGCACGAACCCTTAATCAAACCAGTGGCTGCCAGGAAGGACGTGGATCTGCGCGCGCTGGCCGTCGTACCTCGACTCGACTGAAGGTCGAGGATTCTTGAATCTCGTAGAGCTGGGGTGCAATGTGAGCAACATGGATGTGCAGACTCCCATTGGCTTGAGTCAGGCTTTTCTTGAAAGGTATTGAAAGCTGCATCCTGGCGCTTGCACGCGTTCGCGGTCTGTACTGTCCGGCTAACGCAGATGCCGCAGCCATGTAGCATGACTGCATGCTCCTCAGCACGATTTTGACTTGGCCGTCGCAGGGCATCAGCCAAGCACACTGCTTGCTTGACATTGAATTCCGGCCGAGAGGCGTCTAGAACAAAGCAGACCAGGATCCTTTCTGGGATCCCCCCCCCACCCTCCCCCCCATAAAACCCTCCCTAGGACGCCTGAGAATCCTTGGAACCCTTCCCTGGGACTCCCTCGCTGGCACCTTTCCGGGACTCGCGTCCTGGGAGTGACATATGACTTTCATCCGCCACAAAGAAGGTGGGGACCCGGCACATCCCGGCACCACCTTCGCCGCCAGTAATTGCGTCCGAGGATCTCTACCCCAGTGCATGTCCCCCCTCGAGCAACTGCTAGGCAGTTTGCACGTCTTGATCCAGGCTCAGAGTTACGGAGTAGAAAGACCTGAAATTGGCGCCACGAAGCTAGACAAAGCTTTTTCGTCGTGCGTAAGGGCAAAGCTCGCGGTCCCAATCCTCTCCTCTCGCCTGCCCCCCGCCCCGACTTGGGAGCCACAACGACGCAAAGCTGCAAGGAGCTTTCTGACACACTGCGACTGATCAGAAGTCCTACGCGTTTCGCTCTCCTCCTTTGCAGTCAAGAAGCTTACGTTGCGACGCACAAAAGATCCCGCGTTCGGGCCGTTCAAGAAAGAACTTACAAGAACTCTGTTTCTCGTCAGTCTGTCATTTCAATCGTCTTTCGCTGCAAGTCACGAGATGGATGCTCAACTTGTTTGGCCAGCTCTGACTTTGCCAGATCTTAGATACCATTCCACAGGGAGACAACAGAACGACCATCTCTGGCATTCGGAGAGCTCGAGCCCCAAAACAGGGGCGACGTCTGTTGTATTTGTATTCGCCAAAGCTTGCGGGCACTTGAACTCGGCAGCCAGCATCGCACCACTCGCACCACTCGCACCAGCCTGCAAATCAGCCCAACAGCCGGGGTGCCAAGGTGGGCGGCGCCTAAATTTGAGGTCTGCTTTGCAAACTGCCACACTGACCCCTCTTTGCCTTGTGAGGCATCGATCCCAAGATCCGCTTCAACAGCTCCTGGATGGAGGTGCACGCCTGGAAGGAACGTTTATCGGAATACACCTCCGGCTTACACGGCGCCGATTTCTCAAACGGATTCTGGTCGCGATGGCACCCACTGTACCCCACCTTGGCCAACATGGGCTGCATGGGGACCCCCAGGTGTAAGGTGCACCGTTGTTTGACGCCCTGCGCTGCAGAAGAACTGTGCTCGAACATATCAAACCACCGCATCACGGTTCAACATACTGGGAATTGCCTTGATGCCCGCAAGCTTACATGTGTACAACCGAGCACCGGCCTTGATTCCGTCCTCCAGCAACGCCTCCACCAGTACCCGAACGTCTGGCCGCAAGGCATAGCAATGTCGGACCTCTCGGGCAAAGCGACTTGTCTAAGCTTTATTGCCTCCAGCCGCAAAACCAACAATTGAACAGACTACTGGTACGTAGCTACAGCTGAACATGTCCCGCCTCTTCCTGGGCAGAGCGCACAGCGTCGGGAGTTGCACCTTCTCTCTTGGAGATTGAGTATAACTGGGCATCAATCAAGGTCGCTGAGGCTCTGGATTGATAAGATTGCCAGGAAGTTGGGAGGATTTGAGACGGACCCCTTTCGCTCATGGTAGCCCGACTTACTCTCGCTTTCCTTTCGCCTCAAGAATTACTACTATGGCTAGATGATCACCACATGTCACCACTCAACACATACTCAACACCCTACCTGCAGCCATGGCAGCAGCAGCGCCCAGTGCTGGGAGCACGGATGACTCCAGCGAGACACCCGCCTTGGCTTAGCTGGGGGAACGAATTTAAAAACAGGCGAGGGAATTGCGAGGAGCAGTCAGGGCTGGGCCCCCCATTATATTTCAGTGCGGCAAGGCATTTGACACACTTGCGGGATGGTTCTGCACGCCAAAGCGCTGCCATGTGTGGAAGAAATGTACGGACCAGCCACTTGAGCTCAGTTCCTGCTCGTGGGATACTGTGGGTACACAGATGCAACAATGGCAACAAGATTAACACTGTGCCGCTGAAGAAGCCCTAGGCGAAGTGCGTAGTTCCTGATATTTCCTGATTTAATTGGCGCCTTCCGCTGCTCGAAGCAAGCCGACCAGTCGGGTTGTTTTCGCCTTCTCGACACCTTGAGCTACCAAAATCAGCTTCGGGCATAGTGCAGATCTCGCAAAGCATGAGTCCAAACAGCAGACAAGGCAAACAGACAAAGTGCTCTATGCTCTGCTCGGGCATCTAAGCCTCAACGCATACACATCCTGCAAATTGAAGGGGGCCATGGTTTTAAGGCTTCAGTGATTCAGTCTTTGGACATCTCCCCAAAAGGCCCGCACCACAGGCCGCATGTGGCCAAGAAGCCTGTGCCCTGCAACTCCGCGAGGCTCAGCAGCGTGCGCCGCACGGTGCCCGCCTTCTTCGGAGACGAAGAGATTTTAAAGGGGCGTGGCTAGTTCCCATCCAAAGAAAGGGTCTCTATGATGGTAAACGTCTACTCCCCGCCGTGAGAGGCGGCGGGGCACGCAGCAGCCGCTGCTTGCCACCGCGCTCCCGCAATGCCAAGGCGACCTCAAGGTCCCAAGGTGTCTGGGGCACTGGAGCTGAAAAAAGGCTGAACGTTAGTGACCGTTAGTGAGTTATGTGGAAGTGAACTGCCATCTGAGCTCTTCATTGGTGCAAAGCTTATCTGCATATCACGGAACCGTGGAGAAGCTACACGGTGCCTCACCACTAGCGACATACCCGGAATACCTAACATGCATGCTGTGGGGTCCCTGCTTCGCCAGTCTCATGGAGTTCGTGGTATAGGCCTCCGGCTTTGGTGATGACTGGCATGAGCGTACCGGTACCACTCGAATCCTCTTTACTGTGTGGCGCACATGGGCAGATACTTCAGACAATCTCGTGAGAATAGCCCAGGCATGAGTGTCTCATACTTTGTCGCCACAAGTGTAGTTTGTCACCCCTTGCAGGGTTTGTTCTGAGGGCGCTGCGGTTCAGATCAGCCTGCATGCAGGATGCAAACAGATGCAATCACAAACTTCTCAGTGCGAAAAGATGATGCAGCACAGACTTGCCAACTTGCATATGGATTCTTCTACAGCTGCGTGCGAATTTCATCTTTTCGTCTTGCGTTTAGAACGTCTTGACATGTTCATCCCCTCTCAAAAGCAGGGCTCGAAGGTCAGGCAGGCAGAACCCTGCCGCGCGTTGTCGCCCTAAACCCTCTTCCACCTTCGAGGCACCAGTTGCCTCCAAAAGGGAAGCCTCAGAGGTTTTTTCTGCTTGAACCAATCAGCAACAACATCATCGTGGTACCGTCCACTGCTTTCAAAGACGAGAAGCCGTGATGGATTTGTGTGGGATGCTAAGAGGCCGCCCTCCTTCCACCCAATCCGGCCGCAACCTGTCAAGCATTTGTAAGAATGATGCAGCACGCATGCTCTAGAATCTCTAGAAAGACGGGAAGGAAGGGACGGAAAGGCTTTCAGCCGTTCCGAGCCATGCCTGTGGCCGCCAGCTTGCGCATCTTTGGCGGGTGCAAAGAGGTAGCAGGCAGCTTCTACCTGCACGATCCGAAAGCCCTGATTCTTCCTCTATGGGACGAATAGAGTGCGGTGCGCTGTGCTAAGCAACCCAAGTGCTTACAAGCAAGATGTTGTGTGACAAAAACTCTTTCCAGGAACTCTCACCAATCAAGAATCAAGATTGAGTACGCAGGTTACGTACCAAGCGAATACACATTATACGTAGCAATGTGAATGTTGTAACAATACTACCACGACTCCTCAGCCACTCGGATTTAACCAATCAACATTAAGAATTCCAAGACATGGTGAGCCTGCACCCTCTGGACATGAGAGCTTTAAACTCCTATCTTCTGGATATTTAGATACCAAATACTGTGACTCTGCATAAAACGAAGCCCTTGAAAAGAACCATTTCGAAAACGCAGGCCCCACAGCGCACCCTTCTGCAAGAAAAAACCATGATAGATAGATAGATAGATAGATATATGTATGTATTTATGTATACCAGTCAATGCTCTAACTCTCGTGGTATGAAGCTGCAGTAGGACGAAGCCTCCTCAGCAGGTGCGGACATGGCCAACATGACTCGGAAGGCATTGGTGAGGATGGCATCCTCGAAATGGCTGAAGTTTGTAGAGGTTCACAGTCCAATGGCACCTTGCAACTTGCAGTCTCCTTAGTCAGGCGGCTCCGGGTGGCTTCCAGTGCCTGAGCAAGCCATGGTCCAGGCTTCAAAGTTGGCACGCGCCATGCACACGAAACATGCTGAGAAAGCGTCATCGAGGGCCGCAGCCAGGTGGCGATACGGCACAGCTGCGCCTTTCTTGCTCCAACCTCTGATCGGATGGCTGGACGCTTTACTTCCTTCGCTAAGACCTAGTCTCTAAGACTCCATGCTCTGCGGCAGAAAGAGGCTGGCAACGGCATGTGATGCCGGCTGAGCTGTAGCCTTGTGCAGTCTATGCCCAGTGCTCGTCGAATTTCGCGAAATTTACGGACCCCGCTTTGCTTTCTTTTTGTACGCGTGCGCGTGCTTGTGCGCGTGCGCGTGGGTGTTCGATGCTTTGGTGTCGTTAGTCAGCAACTTGGTTGCAAAGGCTGGGACCCTTTGCGAACTTTGGTCCAGACATGAGGAGATTGTTAGGGGAGACGCCACGTTTGCCAGTGTGCCGGCTACTTTGTTCCGGCATTGTTGATTTCACAGCGCCTTAGTCACACTGCACGTATTTTGTTGACAGTTACCAACTGGTCTGGACGTGTTGACTGAGATTTCAAGGCCAAGTTGCATCCCGCAGCGCTTTCCTGGCGCAGTTGAAACGCTTCTGTGAAAACACTTCTCTGAAGCTTGGCCTTGGCGACAACCTCTCCCAAGCCACAGCAAGCAGAGAGCAGACAGACAGGAAAGCGTCATTCTGCGAGGTTGCGTCTCAGCTGTTGCCCTTGAAGAGACTTGCGCATCCGCACAAAGCGCTCTGCCTCATTTTGCCTCTTCTCGAATCCCTGAGTGCCCTGTGAACCCTGACCGCGCCGGCCGGAACTCGGCACAGCCAGTGGCCAGGGCGGCAGCAGTGGCACTGGCCGACCACGCTGCCTGGCAGCTTGGAGATGCAAACAGTGGGCAACGACTGCACAACGTGCGGCGCATGACTACGCAACACCATATGGTTTAGGGCATCAAAAGATCCTGTGCAAAACACAGAACACACCGGAAGGGGTCACAATGTGAGTCTCAGACCCGAATTCGCAAATGCAACCTTTGAACATGCCTTCTCTGTGCGTACGCCAACTTCCGCCGGGCCCCCAGAAGCCCCGGGAGGCGGCTCCGGTGGCGGTGGCAAGGGTGGCTCTTCGTTGCCTGCTGGGGGGTCACGGGATGTCACGGGGGGGGTTACTGGCAGGCCACTGGGCCGCAGCCGCTAGCCATGATTGTCGTCATGTCTAGCTTATGGAACAGGGGAAGAGCTCTACAACTACTCTCAGCGACAGGAGTGCCATCTATTTGCTGCTGCAGTCAGCACCTGCAAGAGGCAGCAGAATAAATTCGAAGGCATTTGTAGTATAGTACCGCAGGCAAACAACGCTACGCACAAGCTGCAGGACGAAAGCCGTGGCCCCGGCATTCCGGAACCTTCTTCTTAAAGAAAGTTGCGAGCCCTGAAGAAGCCTGGCCAGAGCATCGCTGACCAGTGTTGCAGCGGCAGGTCGTCAACAGGAGTGGGATGTTCAGTGTTCAGCCTGTGAAGTTGGAGCAAGCGGCGGGCTGCTCTTGGGCCTCTTCCTCTCAGGGACGAGATGCAGAAGGTGGCTTAGGCTTCGTCAGATTTTTATCTTCGGGGATATGTCGAAAGGGCCTTAGGGGGCAAGCCAATGTCTGTACCCTGAACGGAACACAGGAGTTCCGACAAAGAAACCTTATCTCCTTTCCTGATGCTGCTGTCACAGCAACCTTTGGCCAACATGCAACTTCTGCCCGTCATGCCAAATGCTGGTCTCTTGCAAGCGTTGATCCATGGATCTTGCAAGTCCTAGGGCCCTAGGGCACGACTGATGGATTTCTCAACTCTTGTTGACGGTGTTGTGGTTCAAATACATGGAAGATCGAAAACGGCTTATGAAAAGAAGAAAGAAGGGAAAGTAAACACTATCTCAAAGCACAACCCGCTTCAAATCCGGCCTTGGCGGCTCGTCGAGCGGCAGTGAGCCACCACAGACCTCACAGCTCCGCCGTGCCGGATCCTCACCTGTCCGTGCGAATCTGTGAAAAGCTCCGAAGCAACCTTGCTATGGCCTTACAGTGCATCACTGTGAGATCTTAGCGAAGGTACTCAACCCACGGAAGGAGTGCTGCTCCTCCCACTACTGCTGCTCCTCCTCCGACTACTCCTACTCCTACTCCTAGTACTAGTACTAGTACTAGGACTAGTACTAGTACTAGTACTACTACTAGTACTACTACCACAATAACTACTACTACTACTACTACTACTACTACTACTACTACTACTACAACTACTACTACTACTACTACTACTACTACTACTACTACTACTACTACTACTACTGCTCCTGCTCCTGCTCCTGCTGCTGCTCCTCCTCCCCCGACTACGAAAACTACTGCTAGACTGCTACTACTGTTACTTCCAAGCGTTTGCTTGACAACCTCAGGATGCGGCAAATGAAGGTACAGGCCGGACAGCTTCTGCGCTTGGCCTCCCCTGGCATAGTGCAGGGTAGGCTCAAGTAATCTCAGGGAAGTCAAGGTGTACATAGGTACGTACACGTATCGACGCAGTACACCGGGAGTCTCTGAAGCTGGCCTTGCGGGCCTGCGAGTTCCTGCGAATCCTCGTCGAGGTCGATGCAAGTTGGAGAGTTCAGGGTCCTGGCAGGGGGTCACTCGACTCGGGCTGCAATCCGCAACCACCCAAAATGGATTCGCATACGATTCGCGACGCCTGCCACCTATAGCTGCCCTGTTGGTGACTTTTTGCACGCGAATTATCGCTGACTACGGTTGAAGAACTTCCTGGAGTTGCGGCCTGTGCTATATCGATGTTATGCTCACTCGGATGAAGCCTGGGCAAGAAGCACCCCCTGCCTGAAGCCCGATTGCGGAGCCAAGTCGCCCCCACAGAGGCTGCACTTTTGCTGTGTGACATCATCGCAAAGCAGCGTGCCTCGCTGTCTGCTGCAGAGCTCCCGAATGCTACTGATCTCCAGAAACTGTTCTCCGGACACACATGCCATGATGAAGATTGACTCGAGCAAGAGTTGGCTCGAGCAAGAAGGCATGACTTCGAGCACCATTCTACGATTCTACCAAAGCGAGTATTCTGGGCCCTGAGTGCTGGGAGTCGGATACAGTGCTCCTCACTCAAGCCGATGGTCAACTAAGTTTGCAGCATTGAACACATGCGCGAGGGGCTGCAGTCATCACATCTGGACTCTGGACTTGCTACTCGCCTAAACCGTGCATGGCTGTGCTGGGCTTGGAACGGTTCTTATTTGCAGCTTCTGCGAATGCCATGCTGGAGAGAAGCAAATTTGCACATAAGAGCATGGCTTGCGCAACTCAAGTATTCCAAGCACTGTGGATCCTGCATCTTCATGCATACAAAGCAAGCCACCATCAAGAACGCACACAGCAAGATTTACAAAGGCTCGACCATGCTCAATCCTACCTTAAACATCCTACCAGCAGGTTTCTCAATTATCCATGACCACGGCAAGAAACAGATAAGCAATTGCAAGCATAAGCCATCTCGTGTTGCATCGCCGGCCTCTTCAAGCGAATCCTGCCAGGTACAATGCACGATGCATCCATGTTTTAATTTTGTAGTTCTGAGTTTGGTTACAATTGCCCAGCAGCGTGATCCCTCCCGGCCTTGAAGCCTCACCGTCGCTCCGCAACCGAACCCCCAAAAGCTCTGAGAGGTTCAGCGGTTCAGCTAAGCTTTTTGCGCAGTACCGCGGACAAGTGCAGCCTGGTGTAATGTCAGAACGTAACAGCAGCTAGCCACGTCTAGCCGTGCGACAGGGCAAAAGGCAACGGAGAACCGAGCAGGGCCTCACAAAATGTCGAGATATGATGAGACAAACTAGAGTCAGGACTCTTCCGAGACCCGAAGCTCGAGAAATGCTCTTGCCCCATGGAATTCCAGGAGTGCCCGGCCGACTCTTCGACTCTTAAAAGATCCAAACCAAACGTAGAGACGCACCTGGAACTCCACCGAGTTTTTGTGTGTTCGCTCGCGCCTGGGTGTTTCGGCGCTCACTTGCACAGCTCCTTGAGCTCCTTGGGGACAGGGCAGGGCTTGAACTTCTCGCCGGCGCCGAAGGTGAACTTGCAGGCGGCCTTGCCAGCCACACGGCCGAAGACCACGCAGTCCAGCAGGGAGTTGCCTATACTCCCCTTAGAACCTTCATAAAAATATTTTAAATGCCCTCTTGGGTTTTATATGAACAAAAAAATAAGTCCCAAGGGGGATATGGTTGCCTCCCAAGCGGTTGTTGCCGTGGATGCCGCCCGCCGCCTCGCCAGCCACGTAGAGGCCAGGGATGACCTTGCCCTTCTTGTCAATGCACTCGGCATCCACCGTGCACTCCAGGCCACCCATGCCTCAGGAGTGGTGCTGGACTTGAGGATCGTGGTTCAGGATTCAGAATTCAGGGGTGGCTCTTTTTTATGCTTCATATCCCTTGCTTTGGCTGCTAAAGCGTCTTTGATCGTGTTTGTTGACGGATTGTCTCCAAGATGCAGTAGTGGATCACGGGGGTGATGATGGCCACGTAGAAGGGCTCGCTGGGAACCTTGGAGCCATCGATGATGTTGTGGAAGAACTTCTTGCCGCTGCCGGTCTTGCCGCTGGGCTCATCCCACGTCTTGCCGGATGGGTAGGCGGGGAACGGGCCGCCATCAGGGTCTTTTTCCTCAGATTCATGTCTGCGCCAACCAGAAAGACCCTCGATTTCTGTTTGCGACAACGTGCCAACTCTGCCAACTCTACCTAACAGGTCAGCTGACGTCACACTACAGCACAAGAACAACTGAACTGAGTGCAAGCTTGCAAGGAACATGAAGTCAAGTGTGAGAACACGTTCAGCTGTGTTATTGCTTGCGACAACCTGCCATCTCCGCAAGACATAGCGGGGTTAAGACGCACAAGAAGAGCAGCTCAACTGACGTCGCACTGTAGCTCATGCGAATGAACTGATTGCGAGCTTGTAAAGAAAAACAAAGTTGAAGAGACATGTTCTGGACAGAAGAAGCGCGAAAACAAGAAATGGCGAACGCGCAGGGCAGAAACTAAAACAAGTACCCTGCACATGCCAGTGAGCGGGCTAAGAAGCTAAGACGCAAAGCTACTCACCACAGGAAACAGCTTTGGCTCATGATCACAGTGTCGCCTGCGTGCCAACTGTGAGATTCTAGAGACAACAGGCTACACCTAGGTTGGTGCGGCGTGACATGCAAAAACTCTGAACAGGATGCAAACTGCAACAACAGCCGTCTGGAGTCCTGCTTCTTGGCAGCTTCGAAGTGCTTCTGGTGGGCATCCACCAGCTTCTGCAGTGGCACGCCCATGTCCTTGGCGAGGTCCTCGCCGCTGGCGTAGAACTTCATGACGCCACGGCCGGTGTAGTGCTTGGCGTGCCAAATGATCTCGTCAGCTGCCGCCTTGTTCAGGCACAGGCGGAAGGGCGGCTTGTTCTTCCACATCTCACCGGTCACGTAGTCGCGGCGGCCCAGCTCGTTGCAGAAACGGTCCCCATTGGCGTCAAGGACGATGCCGCCAACACCGCGCAGGGCCTCGGCGGCCAGGAACTTGACCTTGGCATCTGGGTCGTCCGGCTTCACGAGGCCAGTCGGGTGCACCTGAACCCACTCGAGGTCGATGGTGGCAGCTCCGATGGCCTCCCCCATCTTGATCGCGTCGCCGGTGCAGTGCTCGCCGTTGGTGGTCGGCAGGTGCAGGAGGTCGGGTCGGTATGTGGCCAGCAGGGAGTCAGCGCCGAAGTCCGCGCCAAAGCCGCCGGAGGCCAGGACCATGGGGCCGAACTCCTTCACAACCTTGCCGGCCTTCTTGTACTCGCAACCCACAACGCTGGAACCGTTCTGGAGTAGCTTGTAGACCTCAGCCTTGGTGATGATGCGGGCCCGGTTGGTCTTCTCCGCCACCTTCTCGAGCATCTGGATGAGGGCATAGGTGATGGTCATGCCTGGGAATCGTTCCTTGCCACGGTGCGTGCGCGGCTGGGAATGGCCACCGAGCCGGGCGACCAAGGACAGGTCCAGGTCAAACTTGTCCACCAGCCAATCGACGTCCGCGGCGCTGTTGGCGCACAAGACCTTGGCAAGCTCCGGCTTCTTGGCGCCGCCCTTCAGGGTGTCAGCGATGAAGATTTCCGCATTGTCTGGGATTGACTTGCCCTTCTGCGTCTTTGTTCCGGCGCCGTTGATGCCACTGGTGGCTTTCGTGCTGTTTCCGCCGCAGAAGGAGGACTTGTCCAGCAACACCGTGCGGCCGCCCAGCTCCACGACGGTGTTCGCGGCGGACATGCCAGCAAGGCCTCCGCCGACCACAATGACCTGGTTCGCTGGGAAGACGGCCGCCATGGCTTTTCGAACTTCGGACTGCGCTCTCTGCTTGTAAAACCCCCTGGTGGGCCTTGAGCAAACGTGGCTGTTTACATTGTGTTGCTTGTTTGTTGCGTCAAGAAGCTCTCTAACAAACTCTCTTTTTAGTACTCTGTTCTCTCTTTTCTTTCTCTTTTTCTTTCGCAGGGGTCTGCGTCGAGTGAAGCCTCCAACCTGCGAGCGAGATCTGCAAGTCCATACGTAAACTGGTTGACCCCCCCCGCCCCTTTAGAGCATTTCAGCCGCTCACGTTCTTCTTCTGCCTAGTTGGTGTCTTCCTCTCGCACGCTCTCTCTTCTCCTTCTCCTTCTCCTGCTCCTTCTCCTCCTTCTTCTTCTGCGCGCTTGAGAGGACCCCTTTCTTTCTTTCTTTCTTGGGGGCGTGGGGCCCTTACGCGCGGGAGGCCCCCTTACGGGCGGGCCGTAAGGCCCCTTACGGGGGGGAAGGCTTAGAGGGGGAAGGCCCTTACAGGCCGTACGGCCACTTACCCCAAGAGCCACCAAAAGGCTTCAAAAGGCTTGAAAAGGCCCCCTAAAAAAGGGGGACCCCAAGACTTGCCCGTACCCGCAGTTAAAAATGCTATTTTTCAATATTGAAATCGATGGTTTTTGGCCTGTGCGCCTGCCCGGTATTCGGGGATCTTCGGATTTTCTCGGGGAGATGAGGTCGGGCTTGGCGCTTTTTCCCCCCCTCTCGGTCCTCTCTCACTCTCTCTCTCTTCTTCTGCCCAGCGAAGAGGCCCCCCGAAGAGGACCCCGGCCACGCTGGCCCGCTGCTCTGTCCGAGGTGAAAGTTTCGGGCACCGTGCGTTGACGGCCCCCAAACAGTGGTTTGAAGCGTTTCGTTGCCTCTCACAGAAAAAACGAGGCACTACACGGGTCCCCCTCACTTATGTTGCTCCCCCAGGGAAGCATCGTCTTGGTCTTCATCGTCAGCGTGTGGCTCATCCGACTGTGTATCGGGGACCCCCTGACAGAGGCCCTCCGTCGGAAGGTTCCACGGAGCCCCTGGCCCCAAAGGTGACGTTGAGCTTGCCGGAGTAGAGGTCGAAGTAGCCAGCGTTGTGTTACACAGCCCCTCCTGGCCCCCTTGCGGAAGGTCCTCCAGTTGTGGGTCCTTCGGCGACGTTGAGCATGCCGGAGTAGAGGTCGAAATAGCCATCGTTGTGTCACACAGTCCCTCCTGGCCCCCTTGCGGAAGGTCCTCCAGTTGTGGGTCCTTCGGCTCCCCGTGGCGAGACGATGGCGGCATGGCACTCATCGAGGTCGAGGTCGGTGCAGCCCCCAAGGTGGCCTTCTGCCCCTCACGGAGCGCAGCCAGCCGTCTCCATTCCGTCACCTCCTGGAGGAAGTTGCCGTAGTTAAGGGTCTCCCCTCGCTTGAGCGGGCGATGTCCCGGTCGCAGGAGGCAGTTCGGCCACGGCCTGGCCCCCCTGCGGGGTCTTGTCGGTTGTGGCGGTCCCCCTGGTGGCGCCGTCCATATACTGTGTCTCCCAAGTTGTTCAGCTGGCTCCGGTTGTGGTCCCCCTTCTTCCAGCTCCAGGACCTCCTCGTCTGTGGTGTGGTTCTCATTCTCGTCCAGGTCCTCGTCGTTCTTCTGCTCAGCGTTCTCGTCATGCCCCTTGTCCTGGTCCTCCCGCTCGTGTTGGTCCTCCGGCTCGGGCTCCTCCTCCTCCTCCGTCAGGTTGAACATGCGTAGTTGGCCTCCCTCGTCTGTTCGTCTGCCATCTGGTGCTGCAGTCTCTGCCAGGCTCGACCCCATGGCGGCCCGGAGCCCCTCGAGGTACCCCTGCCAGATGCGCACCACGGTCTCGGTGTCTTGCTGGACTAGCTCCGTCTTGGACCTTGCCCAAGTCGCCAGGATCTGGTATAGGAGGGTGAGGTGCGGCGTAGGCGCCTCCCCATCCTCTGCCATCAGCGGGTGCAGGTTGAGGATGTGGGTCAGGACCTCCCGGATGCTGTCCCCCTCAATTTCGAGGCCCCCCCCTGCCGCGGTGCCTTGCGACCATCTGTCAAAGGCCGCAGTAACGGCTTCAGCATGACGCTTGACCCCCTCTTCTTGTCGTCTTCCTGGTCTTAGTTGGCTCGGCCCCGGTTGCTCCTTCTCCACGTCCGCGAAGTAGTCGTCGATCGTTTTCTGGACCCATTCTTCGTGTAGTGCTCGGTCTTGTTCGAACTCTTCTTGTAGTGCTCGTTCTTCTTCTGTCTCGTTTTCGACTCTCCTCTGCTCCTCCAGGTCAACGTCGGCCCCCTCCTTGTCCATGTTCGTGGCCGCATTGGCGGGCGGCCCCCTGCATTCTTCACGCGCGTCCTCTGTCTCCACCTCGCTCTTGCCGTCGCCATGGTCCGTGTGGTTCTCCGGGTCCCTGTCGCTCCTCTTTCTTTTTCTTCCTTGGACCCAGGCCACCTCGTCTCCTTGCTGCGGGTCGTCGGCGACGTTGTGGAGGACGTAGAGCTTGCCTTCCCCCTCGTCGTCCTTGACGTCGCCGTGCTCAAGGTCCATCGTGTGCTGGAGGAGGGTCGCATGGTCTTGCTCTTCATTGTGTTCCCCCCGGGCTTGCTGGTGCAGGTTGTCCAGGAGGGTGTCGATGATGTCCTCAGCTTCCTCCACCAGGTCTGGTTGCCCCTCTGGTTCATGGCATTGTTCCTGTGTCTGTAACCCCGGAGTTTCGTCTGGTTCGCCAGCTTGGAGTGTGTGTCCGCTAGGTTGGGCTTCGTGGTCGGTCTCCCATGGCACATTGGCCTCTCCACCATCCATGGCTCTCTCTCTCTCTCTCTCTCTCTCTCTCTGTCTCTCCCACACGCATAACCCCCCCGGAGGGAGGCTGCCCCAAGGGGCGCGCCCGGCCAAGGTCTGTTGGAGAGGACTCTCTCTCTCTCCCTCTCTCGCTCTCTCGCTCTAGCACGCCGGAGCGACCTCACCCGAGCCACCAAAGAAACGACTCTTGCGAGGACTGGGCTGGCACATCGCACTAGGGCTGCCAGGGCAAGTTGTCCATGATGTGAATAGTGTTCGGGGTGCTTCCTGGACAGCCATGTAGAATTGCCATCGTGATGCCAATCGTTACTAATCTTATGCGGGGTTCCTAAACCTGCCAACAAGCTCCAGCATTTGGCCTCAGCTGCTTTGATAAAGTAGGCATGTGTGCCTCATCGCATGCACTGCTGCAAGCCAAGAGCATCCGTAGGGGCAGGGGGATTGTCGAAAGTTCTGAAACCTGCCTCTGGCATGTTGTAACAGATTGCTTGTCAATAACACGAAGCACCATGAAGCACACCATGAAGCATCACTACGCCTCACTTACGAAGCGGTTGCAATGCTTCGGGAGACTCCCCGAAGGCCCATGAGCAATGCAAGGCAACCTGGTGGAGCATTTGGCCTTCGGCGGAAGCTCGACTTGGCTGCCAGAGCTCTGGATCTACTCGCCAACGACGGGCATAAAATGATGGAATCAAACTGTGCAAGCGCGCTGCAGAATCGTATGATCTGACTGAGATTTAAGAGCAGGCAGCATTGCTGGTGATATGTTGTGATGGAGAACTGATGGGAAACGATGTCGAACATGTCGCTGTCGGTCATCCAGCGCTGGTTTGTTGCACTTCTTCGTCAGAGAAGTGACGCCTTTCTGCCAACCCAAACGCACCAGTGCCCACCAGTCCCCGCACATGTTGATAAGAAGGGCAGTCCCGCATCCACACGATTGAGCGACATGAGTGACTTCTTGTGGACATAGGTCATCCGCGGCGTGAAGGTTAATCGTGGCCAAACCGTGGCACAGCTGGTCAAGAATGAGAACTGGATGAGAGGAAAGACATCCATGGCTTTGGAGGCTTTCGGGGCCCTGAAAGAACCATGCAGACCCAATCAGACTTCATGCTGCAGCATGGGCACAGCTCCCTCGAACCCCTCGGACGCGCATATTTGGTCAGCATGTCTCGTCTAATCCAGGCCACGCCATAGCCTTGTAGAGCTACCTGGGATGCCTGCAGCTGAGGCACCGGGCCTGCACGAAAGGCATCTAAGGCAAGCAAGTGTATAATTATTCTGCATTCTGCATAGCGTAGCCAGCTTGAAAAGGACCATGAATTGGGAACTTGCCACTGGGAGGATATGGAACCAAACTCGTGCACAGGGTGCAGGGTGCGCGGGGCTCAAAGAGGCAGGCGAGCCCAAACCGCTCTCGCGCGCGAGGGCGTCGGGAACTGTCTGACCTATGAGTGCTTTGAGCAAGAACTAATGTTCCGAATTCCGAGGCTCAATCAAATCGGGCCATTCAAGAAGGTGAGATGCGTCAGGTTGCTTGTTCTGGGCAGCTTCCTTGTGGAGGTGTTGGGTCCCAGTACTTTAGTCTTGGAGTTGCTTTCAAACTCCTTTAGCCCATGCATGTATCGCATCTCATCTTAAACAGTTGTTTTTTACACACAGCAGCCGCAGCTGGCACCTTGAGTTCGCAACAAAGAAGGCAGGCAGATTATCTGCTTGCCACGCAGGCTGCTCAGATTCGCAGTCACGTGGCTCGAGAGTCCGATCACGCGAAGCCTGGACCTGTCCACTGCCGTGCGCTGCGCTTTCTGCAAGGATGTGCGGGCGCTTTGAACTCCGAAGCCTGAAACTGCCACTGCCGGAAAATCCTAACGGCCTTAATAAAGCCCCAAAATCCCTAAAATCCTAGAACCCCCTGAGGTCATGGCCAAACCCGTTCAGCTTGGACCTGGGCCCCAAAGTCGCGAGTTGCAGGGCAGCCCCTTCCGTTTCTAGGGCTTTGAGTTGAAAGTTAGCAGGTATAGTGGCGTATAGCGGGCAACCAAGTTCAGTGGAAGACGCACAAAGGGGCTACAACTCTACGTTTCATTCAGTACATTCTGATGTGAACGCAACGCCACATGTCGGAGCGCTTCCGAAAACGCCTGTGCCATGCGGGCTTATCTTGACCGTCTACTTGCCGCTCGTGTCCCAGTTGTCAACCAGAGCAACCCGCAAGCTACCGTGACTGTCACACCTCGCCCGTGCAGAACACTCATCGATCGAGGCTTTTGCTGCAAGCCGCCATACGACCCATAGACCTGAGTGCTCTGAATCAGTGCCTCACTGTCAAGCCTGTGTGCCCGCAGATTCGGGCGTGCCGCATGTGGGATATGTACCGAACCAGCACACAGGCAGCACGGGAATGAGCTTCTGGACAATCTGACAAAAGCCACCAAAGCAGCCGTCCCATGCTTGACTCTCTGAGTGGTGGGCATTGCCCATCATGCTTCTGGAAAGAAAGTCGTCCTTCCCATGGGTGGTTGTCAAAATTATGGTCACCTTTTGGATCCCTATTGTAATACAGCACCTAATATTAAGGATAATGTTGACAACCACCCACATGAGTGTGCTGTGTACTGTGCACTGCCGCTAAAGCAACAAGCTGCCTGAGTTGGGACGCCCATCACCGTATTGGACCTGAGTTCGCTGGTGCCATCATGCTAAACATCTTCTCTAGAGTCCAGATGAGTAAGGTATGATATCTGATTAGGTATGCCCAGGTGTTAGCTCGTGGCTGGTGAGATTCAAGCTGAATCCGCAAACACTCTGAGTCTTGGCCGCCAGGCATCGTCTGAGACAGGAGATCCTCGATGCAAGCCACAACTTATCGAGTCATGGATGTCAGATGCCATCATGAAATTATCATGCAAGCGCCTGCATCTGATGCGTAGTGTCAGTATGTCAGGTCAGGTGCTAAGCTAAACTACACTTGGAGGTGGGGGTGGGGGACTTCGATGGCAGCTCGATGAGCTCTCCTGCGGAATGCCACGCATGCTGGCTGCCAGCATGTCCTCTGGCACATCTACATCTGTGGGCTGCCAGGTTTTGAGTCTTACGAGCCAGCTCGGAATGTGGGACTTTAATCCTCATCTGCTGCACAGGCGCCATACCCCATTGCATCGCTTTTCGCGGGCAGCAGCATCTCAATGAAACTACTCAAGCATCTGAAAGTGGAGTCCTTCGAAAGTACTGAGAGTACTATACTACCCAAGGACCTCGGGGGAAGCTCTTTGATGTGTCCATATGAGGCCCTCCTGTGGAACTCCCTGCATAGTGCTGGCGATCATGTCCTGCAGCAAATTGCCATAGCTGAGTTTTCTCTTTAAGATCGCCAGCAGAGTTGCAGTCGAGGTAACCGCAATGCACCGGCACCGATCACCCGTCCTGCTTGGACAAGGAGGTCGCTTGCCTAGGCCTTGGCTCTCTTCATCAACCCTGCCTATTAAAAGCCTGTAGTTCGAAGGGCAGAACAGAAGCTGGCCAGCAATGGAATCTGCCTACTTCGCTACCAACCGTCAATCAACGTGATGATCAGGGTAAGTAGGTCAGAGCGACTTGCAAAGAGGTGCCGTGCAAGTCTGCAGATTGCTCGTGGACCTTTGGTATAGGTTCTGACGTTCCACAATACAGCAGCAGTAACCAGGTATGTCCATAGCCACAACCGGAGTTGATGTTGCGAAAGGGCCCAGCGTATCGCAATCTTTCCTGAGGTCGTGGCGCGGCTGTTGGCCGATCGAAGACGGCGCGCTCGACCGACTTGACCTTTGTGGGGACAGGCATTGCTCCATGGCGTTCTCAGCAGGTTCGGGAGCCCTCGGGTCCAAGAAGCCCTTGAATGTGCGGCTGAAGGACGACCTTTTCTAAGGTCTCGCAAACGTCTTTCGCGTCCATGGTCTGAAACAGCTTTGGCCTTGGCCAAGGGGAAGCTTGAACATAAATTAAGTCTGACTGAGCGAGTCATGAGTTAGCGCAAATGTAGCCAGGCCATACAGTCCGTGGCATGGCATCCCTGAAGATTGGCGGTTGTCTTTTCTTCGCCTCTTGTGTACGCCTTTGCATAGATATATGTCACGGCAGTCCTGCGCCAGAGGCTGCTCTGAGGGTCCAGCGCTGCATGCATGAGGACCACAGCCGCTGCATCTCGGATTGGTCGAAGCTCCTGACATGGAAAAGAAAGAGCATGCAGCGGACACAATTGGAACTGAGAATGGGCTGACAAATACGATCCTTGCACGCCCATGCAAGGTCCGAGCGAAGTCCAAGCTCCAACAACATGAGGAACGCCGGCCAAGGATGCACTCCCCTGTGGCTCATTTGCGACGTCCTGATTCTCGAAGTGCTCCTTCTGCGAACAAAGTTGGAAGACCTGCACAAAATGTGGACAACAAAACAACAGAGTCGGGGTCCGTACTCAAAGCATCTCTCGCCTGAAAAGCCCACATGGGATTGCTGACTGGCAGCAGCACATAGAGAGAGTGCCTTGGGGCAGTGAGCCCTGAGACGCTGACACTGGCACTCATGACTCACACTCAAGCTCATGCCCAGCTCGTCGTGATGGTGCGGGGCAGGCACATGGCCAGGCGCAGCAGGGGCTCCGGGAGCCGAAAGAGGAGCACGGCGAACAGCAGCTCGAAGCACCTCTTGTGAACTGTGTTGTTAGGGCGGGAGATATGGCTGGCGGCGACTGCGCAGCATCAGCACAGACATGCGCACACCATCTTATGGCATCTGCATGCTGGTGGACGGGGCCTTGCAACATCGTGCAGATAGGTGCACTGCTCTTGAAGAATCGTGCCTGCTGGCATTGCTGGAGAAATCTGCGCGTCACAACAACTGTCAGTTTGTTGGCCATGAAACTGAAGGTTCGCTATGTCAAGGCACCCAATTACAATGGCATCCGATAATAAAACACCGAACTAGAAGTTAGAAAAGTACATCAGAACGAATATACATACATGTTTCACAGATGCGCTTAGTTACGTATACCCGTCTTCTTCTGATGGCAGACCACGTCCCGTCTGCCTTGATAGATGAACTGGAGGATGCTTCGCCAGACCTGGCAATCCCACATGAGCTTCCAGTGCAACATACCCAGCGCACAAACTCAGCTGTTAAGAGTCGTGATTTTAAACTTAAGAGATATGAGATACGAAAAAGGGAAACATTGCAAATGACATGGGCTCCTCAAAACAGTAGCTTGGCTAGAGTTCGTGAATCGCAACCAAGTGAAAGGTCAAACTAAGTCGCAAAAAAGGTGGAAACATGGCAAGAGTAGCAAGGGCTCCTTATTGCTGTGACTTGACGAGCGTTCCTGAATAGCAGCCGAGTAAGTAGTTGTGCCCCAGTTCCAGAACTGCACTCCAGTTCCCACCTGCCTCCTGGGAAATGCGTTCATCGACGCGGACGACCGCCGCACGGATTTTCTCCTAGTCGGCAAACTGCCGCAAAATGAAGCAGGCATGGACAGTGGAGTTCCTATGATCAGCAAGGTCAAAGACCTTTGGCAGATCTCAGTCTCTGGCCTTAGGCAGCTCCGTCAATGGCAAGGTCTCCAGCATCTGCGCAGAGAATCGAGAGAAGTGATTTTCCATACGTTTGTCTTCAGGTGCAGCAGCTCTGATGCTGGAAGGCACGAAGCACGTGGTAGCACTGTCAGCCATCGGCAACTCTGAATCTTTCAGCTGCGCGACGATTGCAGCATTTCATTCTTAGAGTGTTACGCCTTAAAGGTTTGTATCAATAGCCCTCGCATTGCAGAATCTTGAGCCGACCGCTTTATCACCAAGGGCCTTGCCTCATAGAGTTTCGGGCTCTGTGCCACGACGACCTCAGAGTGGCCCGACTGCGAATTCACACAGTGGGCTTGGGAGTGGCTCTGGGCAGAGAGGCCTGATGAGGCCCCGGAGTCATCCGAGGCTGGCTTTTTCGGCTGGCAAGCTCACTAAGCTCACTAAGCTCACTCCCCCACATCCCTCGGACCTCTCCCAGTTTCAATCTGACGCCGATCGGGGGCATAGGGGCTTGTCGGCCTACACTCGCCAATAACGATAGGGCTCAGGCAAACTGAAAGGATCCGGCTCAACACTCTGCAGGATGTGAATGCAGGCGTTTGCACTTCAAGTCTCACAAGGAAACCTTGAAGGCGCTCAGCGCGATGTGAATGCATCACTTACGACTTACACATACTTACGTTCTACCTCACTTCATCTGCTCGTAGAACTCTTCTTCGTCGGAATCATCTTCGGCTCCTGGCTGGGTCCAAGCTTCAAGCTTGCAAACCAGCCCCTTACCGAGCCTCACTGTGCCACACCCATCCCATCCCATCCCATCCACTCTGCCCACTTTCGGTGCAGTGCGGTCCTGAGCTATCCTCGTGGAAAGGAGCCTTCTGCGTCAACATGTCAAAGATCCTGGGGCAAAGCTGAACTGCCGCCACTTTTGTTCCAGGCTATCTCACAAACAGGAACATCCACGAACGGAGTCCATTGAACTACTGTCTACCATGAATGCCAGCCAAGCATCATGTTGATGTGAGGAACCCACACCTTGTGCTTGATCGGTAAGTCCTGGGCGCAGGGGCAGTCCAAACCCTAAACCCTAAACCCTAAACCCTAAACCCTATAAACCCTAAACCCTAAACCCTAAACCCTAAACCCTAAACCCTAAACCCTAGCATGCGAACTATCCATACGCACTCGGCATCGCGGAGGGGCTTGCAAGTTCCAAGCTTATCGATTCTCCAGTTGCCGCCATGGCGCTTTCTTTCCAGCAATGACATACCTCAAGGCAAAGTTTCCTAACTTGAGCTCGTTCCGAACATCCCTAAACTGCCCTAAGCAAGCCTGAACCTTCAACAAAGCTTTGCCCGGACCCGCCGGGAGATCTGGGACACTTTGTGAGCCATGGCACGGTTTTTGGTGGAGCATCAGGCCTTGGAATCTGAAGCAATCCTAGAGAACACACGCGCACGCGCACACATCATGTGCCTTGTACTCTAAGACTCCGCATTAGAACACACTCCCCCCAACCCCCAAAAAAAACGTAAAGGGGGACCCTAATTTGGAGCACCTACGATTGGGGCGTCGATGCTTCACTGTTCAGCCAGCAGCACGCTGGCCTTGTTGGTATTCACGTGCACCTTGCTGCAGCAGCTTGATAGTGAAGTCCTTCCGGCAAAAGCGTCGACCGCACCTTCCTATCAACTTTCCTAGTCACGACTATGTGTGCATGTCTCATGCCTGACCCCCTAACAGCTCTGCACCTGAGGTGGTCCTGCTGGATTTTGGTGCGCGTGAGGGCCTTCACCGGCATCAGGCCCACGTAGGCGGCGGCCTCCATAAGAACACGTGGGACGAAGCGGCCTGACTTGGAATGATTTGGAGATAGTTGGAGCAGTTGCATTGTCTTACATTCTACTGTGCTTAGCCGAGAGAGGCGTTGCCAGGCCATATTTTTGTGTCGAATCATTCTGCGCTGCCGGCTCGGGTGCAGAACTCGCAGCCATACACAGCCTGATTGTGTGCCAGGAAGGTCACCCGGATGCTGGGAGTCTTCCTGGGGGCATGCTTCTCTACATGTGGTGGGACGGGGCTTCAAGGTGGAATGAACCACATAACACAACATAATACAACCGGCTCTGCACACAAAGCCATGCACCCTCCCGACTCGACAATCGTCGGGACCCATTTCTCTTCTTCACTTCTGCTTCACAGAACCGAATGGAGAACTGCTTTAGAACTGCTTTGGCAAGGAGTCCGACACATGGCCGTGCAACGGCAGTACCGCTGTGCCGCGCGTTGCTCGACGAGGATCCGGTGAGTCGTGACCTGGGGCGAGTAGGAGTTTGTGTCCGGAACTCTGCAGCAGGCTGGACTCACCAAACGACCTTCTATTGCATGTTGCTGACATCTTCGTATCGCATGGAGCCTACGGCACAAGGAAATTTCCAAAGCGTTCCCCTGTCTCCAATGCAAAGTCGGAGGAACGATGAACTCCGTGAGCAGCTCGTCTAGTTGGCAGCAACAGCAACACTCACAACCTGAGCAGTTCTAATGAAATACACTGCTTTCACTGCCGCAGTGCTTCAGCAGAACGATATGCGGGTCACAAGGGGGATTTTTGCAAACCTCAGTCTCCCACCACAGTTGCATCCGCGCCCGCAAAAGAGGTCTTTGCATCTGGATGGCCTTTGCATAACATGCAGCTCAAGCTGGTTTACGACTGATGAGCACGAATGAGCACGATCAACTGAGAGGGTCAGATTGACAACCTGCACAGAATTCCCAGCATGCCATCAGCCTGCCTTGTCACCAGCTTTCGGCCGTACACGTTCAGTTCTCCTGCGCGCGGTACCCCTTCCTACAAACCCTTAAGACCTCAAACCCAGCAATCCCTCGACTGAATACTCACACCAGCAGGAGAAATAAAACATGCCAGCAACGCTTGAACATAACGAGTCATGCGTTTCCAAGCATGAGGCGATATGATGTTTTTTAAGGGGGCTTTTCGCAGATTTGGGATTTGGGTATTCAGCACTCCCAGGACTGGTCGCACAGAGCTCCTTTGATTCGCTTGCAATAGCGATCCAGGATGCCTAAGCTCGGCTTGCTCTCATGGTGCCCAGCATGTAATAACAAACGTGAGCACAATGTTAGCTACGTTGTGCAGTCGAGTTCAGCGATTTTGGGGGAGGATCAGGGGACTGAGGACACTGGCTCTGGATGGTTCACTGGCAGTCTTCGTCGCGAGCTGCTCTTGGCATTGCCCATCATCGGCGGCGGCGGAGTGTGAGGACAGCATACACGCGAGCCTCATCGGTGCAACACAAGACACGACAAGCTGGACAAAAAGACTCCTCAGTGAATGGCGAAGAAGCAGCACTAACAATCTACTCGGCCTGGGGGGTCGTCTGGATCCTTCTCACCTGCCACCTTCTCGTTGTACATGAGGCACTTGCCCATCCTGCCCCAGCAGCAAGTACTCGATAGGGAGCGTCTGCTCAGGTACTGGCATGTGGAAGTCAGGCGTGATGTGCTTGACATGGCAGAACATGGCGAGCAAAGTATGAAGGTGAGAGCACAAGCACTGGCATCAAGAAGCAGTCTTTGGGTTCAGCGTGGCGAGGGGCGTCAGGTAGCAAACCTGCCAGCAGGTCGCCGAACACATGCAGCTGCTAGAACAAAACACCCATGCCTCGTGACATCTTGTGGATATTATGGACGACTGAAGCAAGCGGCAAGAGGCAGGCCAAGGCCAACGAAAGCAACGAGGGTTCATCTTATCACGCTTCAACTGATTCCCTTGACACTGCTTGTTACTAACGGTTCCCAGGAAGACTTATCGCATGGCTTCTTCCGCACAGCCTCCCCTCAACCCTTTTTGATCTATTCGGCAGAGGACCCGGCCAATTCGCATAAACTAGCGACTGCCAGGCTTTCTACTCTGCTTTACCCGGGGGGCAGGAAGGCGGTGGCGGGGGTCACTGCCAGTGTGAACACCGTGAACGCCCATTACACCGAAATACACCGAAGGAAACCCCTTCGAAAGGCTGGCCTGACACCTCCGGAGTCAAGACAAGTTCTGTCGCAGTACCAATTCCGCACTACTCCGCCAGCGACGGTGGCGGCATGTGGCCTGTGAGATGTAGTTCATCAAGTTGTACGTGTCTCCTCTCTCGCGCCACATCCTTGACGGCGGCTGTTCATCCATCGAGCATGTGGTCATTGCAACACACCTCGAAACTAGAACAATGACCATGCTGGCAACTGCTGGCCAGTGTCTTGAAGATCCCGACGGGACCCTGTGCGAGAATTTGCCCGCGGCGGCTGATTGGCATCTTCAGCAGTGCGCAGAGGACCTTTCCTGAGCACAAACAAATCTGCACGCATGGCCCCTCCGAAGGCGCGCAAACGTTTCTCTTTCTTTCTTTCTCTCTCTCTCTCTCTCCATCTGACTCTCTCTCTCTCATTCAAGCAGTTCGCTCCCTCCACTAACCCCTGTTTCGAATAGCCAAGCTTCGAATGAAAGGTACCTCAGCTTCTTCGCGGTCTCGGGCCTACCCTTTGCCCTTAGCTTTTAGTGAACAATGGAGCTCGACTCAAGCAAGGCTCGGCTGACTCCATTTGAAGCTGGCCATAGAAGATCCCACAGTTGTGAACCTAGTGCGGCAAGGCTTTCCGGGCATTGCGCAGCTAACTCATCATGATCTATGACAACCTAAAGTGTCATTGGCGGCTTGCACCGATGTACAAGCAACATGCATTGGGCTGCAAACTGGACTTCAACATCTTGTTGAACGGGAGTGGGAAGGCAGGCCCACTGATCCGATTTGCAGCTCAGTGAAAGGAGAGCGCTTGAACCTTGAGCGGGTGGCCTAGGACGGCGTGTCATTTCGTCCAACACCCAGGGGTTTCAACGGGGGCCTTCCAGTGGATGTTTGGGTGGAGTTGACATATCGCAGCCACCAGTGACAGAAACTACAGTGACACAACTGTGACACAGCTCTGTTGGTTGTCTCTTGTGTTGCTGGGTGTTCTTGAGTTGACGTTTGTTCTGTGGTTGATTGGCCGCGGTCTCCTTCTCCAGCGCCGTCTTGACTGACCAGACAAGCGCAGGTTAAATGGAGCAGAAGACGGCTAGCTCTCTTGCAAAGGCACCAGCACGTCGAGCTTGATGAGAGGCTCTGTGTACCTTATGCTTCCGAACACATTGTTGTGCAAGATACTCGTGTGCTAACTTCCCAACTCTGCAACAAGAACAGTAGCACGATGTACAAGAATGCACAATGCACAGCAGTACTAACGCTTCGTGCATTTGTGGCTGGTAGCCCCTGCAACATCTTGCCCACGACTCGAATGTTCGGCCCGAGGGGCCCCATGAGGCCCAGAAACCGCGGGGTTTTCGTCACTTGGAAGATGCGGCGCGTGGTCAACCTGAGACCATCTAGCATCCACAGCGACGACTTGCCCAATCACTGAACTCACAACACAGACGCGGGCCGCGGGTCCCCGCTTGAGTAGATAGTTACCAAACAATACAAGGCATCACGCAATCCGCGAAGACAGACTACAATAGCAGGAGCGTTTCGCTACCAGACCAATCCAAGCCAGCTCAAGGCAAGCTGCACTATGCCTGCTTGTGGCCGCCGTTTCAGCACAAAGAACTCGATCTGGACAAGGAAAATGCTGATTGGCTACTTGCGGCGGGCAAATCTCACATCATGCTGCGAGAAATACACATCACCCCATTGTGGACGCTGACCGAGACCACCCCACAGCAATCATCCGCTACTTAACTTGCAACTCCCGAAGACATGTAGAAGCCTGCGCGAGGCCGATTTCGACACATCAAAGAGATAATCTGGGGAGTGCCGTTTCCCAGTGTGGACGTCGATGGATGTGTCGTGTTTTGGGCTGAGGGGCTAGGGATTATTAAGGCCAACATACAAAAGAGCATGTAGATGCAGTGTAAATGACGACGAGGCCTACTTCAACACATCAGGAGACATTCTCTGGGGAATGCAGTTCCCCAACGTGGACGCCGATCCATAACAACGAGGCCGACTTCGACACAGCAGGGGATAAACTCTGGGGATGCAGTTCGCCAATGTGGACGCCGGTTGATGCGCAAAAAAAACCGAGCGATGTGGTACCGAACACGCTGAGCGCACACGCACACGCACACGCACGCACACGCACACGCACACACACACACACACACACACACACGCACACACACACACGCACACCCACACACCCACACACACACACACACACACACACACCTACACACCTACACACCTACACACCTACACACCTACACACCTACACACCTACACAGCTACACAGCTACACAGCTACACAGCTACACAGCTACACAGCTACCCAGCTACACACCTACACACCTAAGCACACGCACACGCACGCACGTACGCAAGCACGAACGCGCACACGCACGCGCAAACGCACACACACACACACAGAGACACAGAGACACAGAGACACAGAGACACAGAGACACAGAGACACACAGACACCAGACACCCAGACACCCAGACACACAGAGACACAGAGACACAGACAGAGCCACACGCACACTCACACCCCTCACACCCCTACACCCACAACCCTCACACCCCTTACACCCGTACACCCACTCACCCACACCCCCACGCCTCCGAACACACTCACACCACACCCACGCACGCGTGTGCGCGTGCGCAGACGGACACTGCCACAGCAAACAAAGATCGAAAACGCAGGAGCCGGATCGGAAAACATGAAAGACCAGATTGGAAAACGCAGGATCACAACAATGCAGGATCAGACGGATCAGCAAGAGGGCACCATCAGAAGACAGGCTTCTGTCCGCACGTTCGCAGGCTGGGTGCAGGGTGTGGCGTTAGCGGTTTAGGAAAAGCTTAAGCTACGAAACCCATGATCCCCAAACGGGGCTTCGGCCGTTGGTTCAGTTGCTCCGGAAATCGGGCTCAGTTGCCATTTCTGTGGCAGTAAGATTAGTAAGATTGGTTGAAATTCACGACTGCTTGTTTTCAGGCATCCTGAGCAGTTGCCCTAAATCCCAAACGAAACACATGCGCATGTGAGCCCCAAACATGTCTCATGCACGTCATGTCATGTCATGTCATGGCTGCTATCACTCGAACAGCGGCCTTGAATGTTCATGATGCCCCAAACCCTTCGCTAATGTGCAGTGCAGAGGCAGAGTACGAAGTACAAGGTAAGCGGAAACCATGCTGCCCAGCAACCACATGAACCCCACAGGGTGAAGGGCACTCGTCACTTCGTTCTACAGTTTCAAACCGTCCTCGTACATCCGTGTGCATCTACGATTTATGTTGGATGCCCTTTGGCAAAATCGGTTTTCTTTGCTCTCCTTTTCTGGACCAGATGCAATGAATTTGGCCCTATAGATGCTGTGAGCAGCTCTTAGGAACAGTTTCAAGTGTCTTGTCTGGGTACACTTATCGACATGTGCCAACCTGGCCGAGGTCTTTTCTTTAGTGCCCATGTAGGAAAAGCCTGTGTCTGTCTGCCTTGACCCGAATTGTGGCGCAAAGAGATGCAAGCTTGTCTTCGTCGTGCCTGTTTTCTTACCAGGGCCCTGGTGTTTTCCTATCCTCACCATGGCGTTGGCCTTTTCCGAATGTATGCGCGGACACCTGTCGCGTGAGCGCACGTACGAGCGGACGCACGCAGACACACAGACACACAGACACACAGACACGGAGGCATAGTAGAGACACGGAGACTCAGAGACTCAGACACAGAAACACAGAGACAGACAGACAGGCCAGGCAGACACACACACACACACACACACACGCACACACCCATAGACATATACATATACATATACATATACATATACATATGCATATGCACACAAACGAACGATCCATGTCCATGAGATGCCGCCCAGGCTCATATTTCCAGCAGAACAGCATACCCAGGATTGCTTCGGCGGCGCACTGCATTTTGCCCTTCTTGAAAGCCTGGGCATGGGCTTCACATCCAATGCTTTATGTGTGAGGTCGCTAGAAAGGTCGGGAGAGGGTCACGAATTATGCTTCCTTGCCCTGACGTGCTGCTTGCATCTCCAGTGGCTGTCACAAGGGGTCCCACGATGAAGAAGAGTACTCCGACGGCTATGATGATCTTTTGGTTTCCTTGCTTATAAACGCAAGCAGGCGCTGACAAAAAAGGAACCTGGAGACAGAAGGATGGCTGCAAGCGTATGGCTCCGGGCTGCTGCGTCCTTCGTGCGAGCAGGGCTCGTGTGAGTCGTGGTGGAACCGTCCAAGCATTGACGACCTCTTACAAACTGCACGTGTTCGCGCGCGCGCGCGCGCGCTCGCGCGGGTGTGTGTGTGTGTGTCAGGGGCATGAGACCATGAGGCACATCTGCATGTTCTTGTCCACTTCCTTGTAATCAAGATTGGATGGGACTGAACAAGCTTGGTGTGAGACTGGCCGAGTTTCGGAGGGCGCTTGGATCTTCTTGGGTACTTTGTGACGTTGTGCATCTCACCGCGCCTCCTCGCCCTCCAGTAAGCCCAGAAGCTCCCTGTGGACGTTGAAGCGCCGTGTCTTGGCAGCAACACCACCAGACAAAGCAACAGCATGTATGTGCGCATTTAGAGTTTGCCTAAGCCAACGAGCACGTGCTCACCTCTCAGCCTGCTCATGTCTCCGTGGCTGTCTCGATTACTGCTGGCTGAAGCGCTGCTGTGGCATCGAAAAGGTTGTAGTGATCCCAGGTTTTGGCATTGTCCACGAACCTTCACGCAGGAGCACATCTAGACGATTCTTCCTCACCGCTTGCCGCTGAATCCCAGGTCACGCCTAGCAATTGCAGCCAAACTGCTGAAATGGGTCTGGAAGCTTCTTGGTGTCCAACCTGAGCTCAGGCGCTCCAGGTAATTGCAGCTGTTGCTCCAAAAGCCAAACGCCGCACTGGTAACAAACTGGTGTCAGCTTGGCGGCAGCCCCTTTTGCGTCAGTTTCCGGATGCCCTGCACAGGGCTGCTCACTTAGACTTGATTCCGCTCCACCGCACGAATCTCTACGGAAGAACACGCCTGCTCTTGATACTCCATGTGTTTCGGCACACCGCAGTAGTGGTAGCGGAAGAAGAACGTCCGACCAATCCTGACACAATGACTATAATGGGCTGAAAATGGCTGAAACAACGAGCCCCCTTCTTTCCCGGCCCGAAGCGAAGAAAGGCTAAGTAGTTGCAACATGCCAAAGGCGCATTCCAAGGCAGGAGACTTCCGTCTGGTGCAGGTCAACTGACTTCCGCTGTGTTGGGTCAGCCTGGCAGGAACCCACGTGCGCTTGCTTAATACCTGGGAGTTGGGGAGGTTGGGCCGTCGAGTCCCTTCAGCAAGTTGCAAGCATGATCAGACCTCGAAGTGGACATCGATCATGGGACAGTTCCTGAAACGGCTTGGCTTCAGGGAAGCTGGCGACTGGCATCGAGCTGTGTTTTCGGGACAGTTTCTGAGACTGCGACTCGATGACGGAAGTGGGTGGGAAAGTTCGCTGGACAACAGAAAACACAGAAGCAGTCATTGCTGGCGAAAGCCCCGCAACACGAGATCCGTGATCACCTTCCTGCCATGCTCAGTTGCTCCAGGGTGTAGCGCGCCGAGTTTTGGGGCTGCTTTGCAGCTTAGATTTTGGATATTTCCCCCAATAAGGGGTGCCCTTAATATACCCCAAAATAGAACCCTTATTGTAGGAACCCCCCAAGCAGGGTACCCTCATTTTCGGAAACCCCCCCCCCCCCCCATTTGGGAGAGGTTTTAGGGCTTTGGGACTTTGGGACCTTCACGGTCTGCAGCTCAGTTGCTCCAGGGCATTCCCCATCATCGAGGCGAGGAGTGCACTGAAGTAGCTCGCGATCTGGGGAGGCGTCCAGTTTCCACTGAGTAGAGTTTATTCTTATTTACTGCATGTTGTATTGCGGTATATTGTGGTACTATTTCGGGGATCATGTGTTGCAAGGGGACTCCTTGCAAAGAGGTATCCCGAGAAAGGGAACCGAAGTTTTGGAGATGTCTGGGACTTTGGGCTGAATCCAAGGCTCGATCAGCAAGAAGATCTCTATTAGCTCGACCACATTCCTCGGCAAAGCCAAGTTGGAGTCTTTTGTTTGGGGGGGGGGGGGGGTTGGTCTGCTAAATTCATGTATACTGTTCTTGGGGGGGCCGGGGGGTGGAAAGGGTTCGTTTATGAGAGGCCCTATGATGAAATGATAATGCCAATACGGCTCAGGTTGGCCCCTTCAAACTCTCGCAGTGGATGCTAGGCATTTGTGGGGGTTTACCAAAAATAGGGGACCGCTCATATATCCCCGCAAAATCCTGAGGTACGCTGAGAATAAGGATCCCAATAAGGTACCCCCTACTTTCGGAAACCCCCTTGTTTCAACTGCACCACGGGCCAAGAATCTGGATATCTGTGAAGTAAAAGAGGGTCATGCAGCGAACGCATCCGTGGCAGCTGTACATCTTGGCCTGTCTGTTCAGAAAAAGGAGCTCAACCACATGACGCCAGAGCACTTTCACACATTCATTCACACACACACACACACACACGAACACAAATAATAGTGGTAGTTGGCCCTCAATTGGAGACCATTGACTTGCATTCATGGGTAGCCCTACTACCCCCCGCTATACTACCCCCCTTTCTCGGTTCCCCCCCCCCATATTTAAGGCTTCTACAGGTGGCCAGGAACCGACTGCGCCTGCCAAGTGATGTCCAAGTTTTTTTCCTTGACCTGCAGCCAGGGCTTCTCGATTCGAGTGTCATGATCTGTCATGATAGCCATGGTCGCACCTGCTCCAGATAGTAGCTGGCGTGATGTTTGCCGAGCCAATTTGAAACCATGCCATTAACAGTAGCCTCAGGGCCACTTCAGATGGACAACAGCTTGGTGTCTGTGCAACATCTCTCTGCCACTGCTCACGGTCCATGGTCTGTGAGACCTTGCAGAGAAAGGAGTTGCGGCTTTGTTGCAGCACAACCTCCCGTTAACTACCCACAGACCCTCGAGTCGCACACATCTGGAGCATTTCAAAAGTCCAGATCTGGTCGAGAATTGCCTGAGGGCCAAGTGGCGTTAGGTGCCTCGATGAGCTCGTCGTGCATGGCTTTGCAGGATGTTTCCGCCACATTCATGATGATCTTCTTGGCAGCCCCCACCGTCTCAACGCCTCAGCCATATTTAGCCATCAGTGTGACGGCATTTTGCCAGCAAGTGCTTCTGGCCGAGTCGCCCAGCCACTTGGCGACTTCCTGCATTAAAATCAGTGTCTGCTACACAATCGGGCTCGGAAATCGGGACATGCGCCATCTGTGAGGTGCAAGGAGCCTTGATTGGCACATCCGCCTTCACCGCCTCGCGTGCCAAGTCCTCTGCAACCATAAGCCTGATGGTCAAAAAGAGTGGGCTTCCGTGAGACATGAATACCTGTATGCACCTGTGGTCTCTTCATGTCTCTGCTCTTCATCTTGCGCTCCTGAAAACGAGCCAAGCGACTTCTGAGAGACGATGTAGTGTGCAAACCAAGGAGCCCTTGCAACCTCAACCAAAAGCAGAATCGGCAGCCGTCACGATGAGGGACGTGGTGCACAAGAGTACAGAACTAAAAGGCTTAGCGTGACGGAGTGGTCTTTGCAGATATGCGGGTGCAGGTGGTCACTGACTCTCAGTACTCTGTAGATTCTGGGAATCTCGTGCTCGGCTTCCGAACCCACTTGAGTCTACCCGGGTCTACCCCCACAACTGCACCAAGAGACGCCAGCACAGTGACCCTGCTGAATGCAGGGAGCCAACACCACCCCTGTGGGACAGTTCTGGATGTTCATCAACCTCAAGGCTGAGAGCAGCATGAGCAGATGCTGAAGCGGATGGCGCGCTTCCGTAACGCGGCTAGCAGCCAGTGCGGCCAGGCAGCAGGTTATAGAGATTCACGCCGAAGAAGAACAGTCCCAAAGCACCTACAAGAAGCTGGAGCTAAGTTTGGATCAGCTAGTATCCGCCTACCAATGCAGGACCTTCTGTGAAGTCTAGCCCCTGGGAGTGCAAGATTACCCTGAAAACATGCTGAGCCGAGACACCAAGGAAGCTGTTCATGAGGCCCAAGATGAGCTGGAGCAAGCCTCTCCACATCTCAACACTGCGACCATTCGGGAAACCTGTCCTTCTGATCATGGGCGAACCTTGCAACATGCGACTCTTCAGGTTCGCTCAGCCTGCAGTCTCATCCGGCCCCGATGGTGTCCCGCCGCTGCCTGGGTAGCCTGTGCAGGGCGACTCGCAGCATTCGCCAACCGGGCCAACCAGCTGCCACCCTCATGGAACATGGAGCGCAAGCGCCTCCGTTGTCGTACTCTGCGGGAAGTCTGGGTAAGGGCTCGAGGCATTTGAGGAAGTGCCACCCTTTTCCTGGCAGGCAACTTCAATGAAGCTTCATTTCTCACAAAACGTCGCTGATACGGAACAAGCCTAGTTCCCAGAAGATGTGGCTCAATGGATATGGCCCAAAGAAGATGCGCATCCTTGGCATGCGATTTAGGGTTCAGGGTTTAGGATTCTTCCGGGTTGCTCAACATCGAGGCTGTGAGTTCTGCTGGTACCAAAGAGGGGCAAGCCGCGAATCAACCAAAGATGGCCAGCCATTTAGGGGAAACAGGGTGTGATCGGCAAACACAAGCAAGATGCGGAGTCTGTTCCGTCGGCCCTGATATGGGGGTTTCCGAAAACAGGGGTACCCTTTTTGGGGTGTCCCTGAAGGGGATTCTATACTACTAGTATTTAGGGGTATAAAAGGGCCAAGGGGTACCCAAACCCAGAAGCTTCGCTGCGCCGGCTTTCATGACTAGATGGGAGAACACAACAGCGACAGGGACAGAAGCTCCAAGCCCCCGTTATCCAGTAGTGCATATGGTCCAGTTACAGTGGTCTGCACAGAAAATTTGGGACTGCACGAGTTACAAGGTGAAGCGACCCGAATTCGACCATGAACCTGAGCTTAAGTCCGGCGTCACCATTGGTTTCCTATGTCCCAAGATGAAAGCTGCATGCCATGGCTCCCGCCCACGCGCCGGGGTTTTGACCAGGGCGTGCTCTTGGTGCCACTGCGGAAGTACTGAGCACAACCTTGTACGTTCGTGATTCCTCGTGATTGTCAGATAACTTGCGCTCGCAAGCAGTCAGAATCAGAGAGAGCGAGAGAGAGAGAGAGAGAGAGAGAGAGAGAGAGAGAGAGGGAGAGAGGGAGAGAGGGAGAGAGAGAGTGGGAGAGAGGCATGGAGAGATGCACTGCCATCTGGGTCCAACACACGCATTGTCAGATTCATAGTAATTCTTTGTATCGCTGTGGCCCCAGGACTTCCTGAAGAAACATCGAGGCATCACAAAAAAGTTCAAAGCCACTCATTCTCAGCTTGGTTGGCAACTGACAAACTTGTAGCCAACTCGTACATGCAGTGTCGAGTGTCAGCGTGGCTTTGAAGAAAATGAAGTTCACGAACCACAGCACGACAGCCACCAGGGCAGTGTAAAGATATACCTTGGCATAGGAGAGGTGCGCATCTGTCTCTGCCTTGCGTAACTTGTTAGCTAGTTGAGCCTACAGAGAGCTAGCAGCTCAGCTCTTGAGCATGCGGAGCCTGGCAACGTTTTTGATCCCAGCTCAAGAGCCTGGAGGCTGAGGTGAACAGTCCGATGCCATTGTTTCTGCGCATGTCAACTTTGTAGCCCCGACATCCTCAATGCGCCATAATGCGCCACATTCGTCCCTTGACAGCCCGTTCTACAAATGCACCCTGCCTTGCCATCGATGAGCTCAGCGATCCTGTGCACTCATCAGAGCATGCTAGGTCACCAAAAGGTGGCTCAGCTAGAACAGCTGCTCCGTAGCTCATAGTAGCTCTGCATTATGAAGATGTACTATTGCAGCGTTTCAGCCCCCACCAGCATCCCCACATATGGGTTTCGGCTGCTGCGTGTTAGCAGAAGGCGTAATAATCAGGATGTGCCCAGTCTTCCGTCGTTCCTTTCTTCATCTTCCTTCGCAGAAATCCGGAATTGGAGGAGACCACGCTCGCGATGCTGATGCTTGAGCTGTTGCACTCTTTCTTTGTTCTTGGTTCTTTCCCTCAAAAACTCCCAACCCCGAACATCCGCAGTGCACTCAACAAAGCCGCTAGCACCGCGACCATCAGGCCCGATAAGTGCATGTACCTCTACTGTACATGCCGTCTTATCTGCCCCTGACCTCGCCTGCACCGCCCCTCCCTTGCCGTGCTGGATGCTACCCATAATCTCCACAATTCCGCAATCATACACATGTCGCCGTATGCAAAAGAAGCTGCTGCAGTTGAGCGTCGGCGCAACAGGTGCCAACTTGGACTGCACAGACGGCGTCGGGTAGTTGGTGGCCAAATACAGAAGACGCTCGATGCTGCGGAAGTAAACCCTGCGCAGTAAGCTTGGCACTTAGGCCTGTCTCAACAACACAATCATAACCGAACACAGCAAAACAGGGATAAGCCAGCACAGCGCCGCCAGAAAAATCCCCGTCCCCCTCCCAACCAAAGGGATTGCCATGGTTGCTTTGGCCGGGTTGCAGTGCAGCAGCTGTACAGGTCATGATGAGGGTGCCGACACTGCGCAGAAGCTTCGCCGACCTCTGGAGAAGACCAGAAACTGCAATCGAGCGGTTTCTCAGACAATGTGAGTGATACTGCTGCAGCTGGAACACTCGGAGCTTGGGTTAAGCGGCCTCCTGGCCGGGAACATGACAGATGAAAGTGTGGCAATAGATTCTGGTATTTGTGCCGTCTGCAGTTTGGATATAGTTTGGATTCTAGTGCCAGTCTCCTCAGCAATACCATCAATCGCCCCGTCTTGCCCAGCACGCAAACGTTGGTCTCGACCTGGAGTGGTCACCCGTAGGCCAAAAAGTGATGCAAGCTTTCCGGCTTATGGGCCTTGCAAGCATGAATCAAGAGCGGATTGTTTGGGGGAGGCACAGGCTCGGTGACCAAGAAGTGGTACAAGGAAAGGCTCATGGCTTGTGTCATCATCCACTTGAAGTTGCTCATGCCGGACACTTCCGTGACCACCTGCGCGCAGCGCAAGCAGGTCAATCCCTTCAGCACCGACTGCAAACCTGTCGCATCGTGCTTTCACATTCCTGGAGGTTCCGCTACGTTCGCCACAGCACTCTCTGACTGTCAAACATTGCCGAGCTGCCAGCTGCAACACGCCGCCAAGACCTTTGAACCATCCCACGGCGCTTCGTGCATTTGCATATTTGGGGCTGTTCTGAATTAGGGTCCCGTCTAGATGGAGAGATGGAGACCTGGTAGTATTAGCTTAATGGAGATCGCCAGAAAGTGCCCTCATTACCTTCCTTTGGCTGGACAGCTCCCAAAAGGTTCATAGGGACGATATCAGCTTGAGACTCGGACCATCTTGCTCTTTCTCGGTCAGGTACTCGTCGAGCTTCTGCCGCTGCCTCTTCGTGATGGGCAGATCTCAACATGGCTGCTGGTATCCGTGGTGGCCCCGGTATGATTTGAGTCGACTGGGGCACTGGCTGGTTCTTCTCCTCTTGCATCCACTCCTCGCCTGAAGTACGCTGACAGCACTTCTTGAGAAATCACCAGGTCCTCACACCGCCACCTGTATGCTAAAAGCCTATCCCACACAAGATACAAGATGGGACTTGACATGACTTGACCCTTGGATGTCCTCTCCGGATCACGCTCTTCATAGGTAAACCAGTACATGACTTTAATAACTGTCTTTGCATCCCCAACTCAAAAATCAAGGCAACTGAATGCAGAACATCGCTTTTGTTTGCCTGGCCTTTTTCGGGATGTGTGCGTGTCATGGTCATATATGTGTGTATATCATATGCGCTGACTGTATTATGATGCATGCGTCTGTGTATGTGAAGGCATGTACTTGTTTCAGGGGGGTGTGTGTGTATGCATGTATCAACATGTTTCTACTGAACAAGCTTGCTCGAGCAACTGCCCTCAACAGGGTCGGGGTGGCTAGAGGCTGACATGCTAGCAATTATAACTTCTGTTCGCTGAAAAAATGAGTCCTACTTTGCGTTAACCACGATCTGCAATTAAAGTCAATGAATGCAACTAGTGACTGTTGTTGCAAAATGCCCAATGAAGGTTGTGAGACTTGAAGGGATCTGTGGCCGCATATATACGGGTTGCATTCACTGTGCAAGCTGGTGGCGCATCTCTTTGGTCATCTCATCCGTTCGGATGCCTCAAGTCATGGGCGAACGGCTTGGATCCGCTAATTTCCTTGAAACTCACGGGTAGCAAAGGTAGCAAAGGTAGCTAAGGTAGTGGGCACATCCCAAGTGCCGTCAAAGCAGGATCCCAGCTCCCGGTGCCTGAGCCAAAGGCGCTGAGGTAGGCCTTCTTGATGGCGGCCTTCGACAGGCTTCAAGAGACGCATTGGGCGATCCCCCATTCGCCTTAAGTTTCTCTATGCTGGTCATGGCGAAGTCTTCCCTCCCTGGCTTTGTTCTAGGCCTTGGCAGATTCCCAGCCGATGGCGATCCCCAGGCCCACAAAGGGAGACAGCAGAAGCCTGGATGTCGTTTGCTCAACTCTCCCAGGCTGCGACGTCTGAAGCTGAGATTGGCCCTGAAAACCCGACGCAACCGTCACGAGCTACTCTCGAGGTCGGCATTCAGGCCAAGCTGCAGGTAGGCTGCCTCCTTGCAGGTGGCCTTCATCCACTTCTCTTGAGCTCCAGGATCTTCGCCTGAGTCTGTAAGGGCAGGGCAGAGCGCTGGCCTCCTGGGCCTGATCTGCAGAGCCAATGTGCGCTTGGTGGTGTTGTCGCTGAAGTTCTGGTCTTCTTCAAGATTCCTTGTGCGGTATGTGGCATGCATTAGGGCTCAGCTTATGGCTGCCGATGATTATCTCAATGGAGGCTAGGGGAGACCAAGGGGTAAAGGCAAAATACAAAACGCGGCACATGTGGAAGCTTAACCAAGCGAGGGTCATTGTTCCCAGCAGCGCCATCATGATAACAAGGGCCTCTTGCAGGTGAGATCACAAAAAAGGGAAAAAGCTGAACCACGCGAACTCCTCACAACTTGGGCAGGATCAGTGCTATGATGTGCCATGCCATTATTAGATGATCTGTCATAATGAATGCTTCGCTGGCGACCCGGACCTTCTGCTCGACATTTCTGTACCTTGAAGCAGTGCTTAGGGCTTAAGACTTAATGCCGAGGGTGTGATCTCATCACTTCCTCACCACTTCAGGGCACTTTATGTGAGCTCCAAGCAAAGAAGCTTGATATTCTTGACAGCAGAGCATGGCTTGGAATCGCCAAGATGCAAAGTACTGACCGTCCACTTTGTGCCCGCGATGAAGCCTTGGAACTCAAAGACTGCTGCCGGATCTTGCCCCGAGTTCGCTGGGTGTTCGCAGAAACAGAGTCACCGAGCGCTCACTCAGCCCAAGCCAAGAAGCAGCAGCAGTTGTTCTTGCATTTCAGCGTAC